TTAAACAGCCAATTGAATTAGCTCATTTCTACTTCACCACCATCATAAGATTTAAGCTGAGGTAGCACATCCTGCCATCGACCGAATATTAAGTTCACGTTATCCTTCTGTGCCCAACCGGTTTGAATCATACGCTGATAAACCTCCGGGTGAGCCTCAACGATGGTATGCGAAGCGGGGGAGTATTTCTGAATGGCTGTATCCACAAGCCCCATTCCGAATTCAATTATCAACACATGGCCACCTCCGGAACAAACCGCTTTCGCGTGTGCCTCCATTAGCGGATGCTCCCGGGCCATCATCACCGCCTTACAATTCGAGTCCACCAGCTTATCATTTCTGAAGCTCACTGTGTCTTCCAAATAATCGCCATCGCTATCCCCGTCCTTCTTCTCCCTCCTCGCAATCGTTCCGAATACCAATTCTGCTTCAATCCCGAATATTCAACTCACATTAATCCAACACTTTAATTTCTGATTCATACGAAAATCCAAATTACATTCATTTTCTAATTTCTATGCTAAGCACGTATCGGCATTGAGGAGTATATCGTAGACGTCCTCGTGGCCTGCTTCCATCGCGAAATCGCCTGCGGAGAGACTGGAAGGGGATAAGGCTTTACAGGGCGCGCCAGCTTCTAGAAGGGCAGTGACGGCATCGGCGTGGCCCAATTTGGTAGCGTGCATCAGCGGATTGAGGCCTTCGCCATCAAAGTACGTAACGTCAGCTCCGGCGAGTATTAAAGCTTTCAGCTTCTCGGTGTCGCCGTTCCTCGCCGCCTCGCATAGTTGCGTGCCTTCTTCCATGTCTGTGTCACTGTACAGTGTTGGTCAAAACCCTGGTCAACGTTCATAAAGGGTACGCTCTTCTATTTGCACCCAGCATTTGTGCTCTTCTCATCCAACAAAGTTTGAACTTTCAATTTTACCCCTCAAACACTTCAAAAGGAGAGATTTTTAAGTATGCTCAGAATACATAACGGTGGGTCACATATAATTACACAAGTGGTGAAATTTTTTTTTTTTAAGTGTCCCACAATTTGTATAATTGTGGTGTACCAAATCATGTTCTAATTATATTGAAAAATCTCTCATTCAAAAAGGCTATTGGCTAAAAAAGATTTAAAAAAAAATTTAAATATTGATATTCAAGTGGGTACTTCACATGTCAAAAAATAAAAAATAAAAAACACAAAAAATATATTATTTTCTTCTCTTGTTTAATTCAGCAGTTAGATGTATAATCGTTAGAAAATCCTAGTGCGTGTTTTATAGGCGTAAAACTGAGGGTACAATTGGAAGCTACAATTTTGCTGGGTCAAGAGAGCATAAATGGTGGGTGGTGGAAAATAAGTAGACCGTTAATAAATGTTGAGGGAAAATAGAAGCATAAGAAGAAGAAGAAGAAGAAGAGCTACAAGGGCAGGCAGCAAACACTACACATTACAAACAACATTTCCTCCAACAAAAGATCAAAAATAAGGTATGGAGGTTCTTCAAACCAAGTACAATTATGGCCAAAATGAAGAGCACAGTGAGCTAGGCGGCAGGCAACCTCATTTACTTGACGATGCATGTGGGTATAAGGCAGAGCGGACATTTCATACTTTAACCGTGAATGTTTTGTTATGTTGAAGGCTTGAAGCGCATGACAAGCTGGAACATGTCGAAACCATTAAATTCCTTTTTGGAAATGCCATCCTAATTATTTGTTCATTGATTCTATTTTGTTTATTCAATAAAAAAAAATCATAAATAAGCAAAAGTATGTATTAAGAGAAAATTAATATACAAAAATCACTTCTCATCTATTTACGTTGACATCAAATTTGTAGTATACAAATTCAACTCACATTCGATTAGACATTAGGCTTAAGCGAAGCAATTTGTACACCTAGTAAAACAAAAACAACGTTAAAACTAATCATCTATAGCATGTAATTATCGTATCCGTTAATGCGTGTAAAATTCACAATGCATTAATAGTCATAAATTAGAATCAACCTACTCAAACACGAACAACTCATCGTTGTTTTTAAAGTAGAATAAACTCAATTCAAGTTATTATAAAATCATTCTTCAATTGCAAAAATGGACAAGGAAAACGATTGAGAGAAAAAGGAAATGGTCAAGAAAATTGTTAAACTAGTGAAGTAGCGATCATAAAAGCCAAGGCAGTCGTCAATGGAACACAATCCACGTACGCGGTGGCGCATCGCCATCGCCATCCAATCGACCAATTTTGACCCCTCTCCAAAACTCTGAACTGCATCAAACGACATCGTCCTGGGATTTCTAGAAACCCCAATTATTCGCAGAGTTTCCTATAAACCCGCGACAGTCCTCAGCATTTTAGATAAAATACAAAAAATCGTTGTTTATATATTTTAAGCCCCCCCTCTCTCTCTCTCTCTCCCAACCCAAATCTTGTGTCACCTGCAAATCCAAATTGCATCGCCGAAATAACGGAATCTCTCCTCACCCAATTTCTCTTTTTACCCTTTTTGTCTATTTCTCATTTCTATTTGCTTCCACTGTCAATTTTGCACTCGAATTCATTTCGGATTTAATCATTTATCGAGCTAGGGTTCATTTGAATTTTGTTTGAATAAAACAAGATTGGCTGGTAATTTGTTTGTGAATTTGGGGTGATTAACTAATGGCGTCAGGTTTTGATCGGTGGGAGAAAGATCCATTTTTCCCGGCGGCCGAGGAAGTTCAAGAATCCGCCGACAGGTAGCATTTCTCATTGTTCGTTTCTGTTATTTATTGGGCTCCAATTTTACATAAGTCCATCAATTTGTATTTTTTTTTTTCAAATAAAGTTTCAATTTTTCTACGTTTATTGCAATTTTGAATTGCATCTGTAATTTGATAGCTTCCAGCTCATTTGAATCAAATCCCATCTTTAGGCAACGTTCAGCACATTTTTTTTCGTTTTGGTCCCCAATTAATTAGAATTCATGAATTACGATTTTATCTTCTATTGTTTTCCTCCACATGTTGTCAACATTTACAATTTGTTTCTAACCCATTGAGTAATCGGTGTTTATCCGCGATGTGTTTACTTTTAAAACCGGAATTGGGGTTTTTGTCTGCACTTCTTCAAATGCAATGTGCATTGAATTGAATGCTGAGGTTGATAAGTTTTTGTCGTAAATGGTATGTTAATTTGTTTTTTATGTGGTTCTGAAGGATGGAATCTACACATCGAACATGGATCCACGCCAGGAAAGACGCTTCCAATATGTGGGATCTTGAGGAACTTGGCAGGGATCTGCGAACAACTCTTGGAACTACCAAATGGCAGGTCCTCTTCTTTCTATGCTCCCTCAGCTATGGCTGTTGCCCTTTAGGCTGAGCAACATTATGAATTGGTATTACGCCCGTATCAGTGTAGTGAATAATTGTTTGAAATTTTGGTGGCAATGCAGTTAGAGGAGTTTGTACGAGCAGTCAGGTCAAGTTATGCAAGAAGGTCATGTGAAGACGCAAGAGACAGGCACCATCAATTCATTGTTGCCATCGAGGATCAGGTTTCCAAAATTGAAAAATCGTTAAAGGAGGCTGCCCTTTCTGAGGGCAAGGCTACTCAACCTTGGGTGCGTTTGGATGAAGGGGAGTGCAATGAACTTGCGTTTTTTCTTTCTGGGCCATCTGCATCTGAAGAGAAAGTTATTGCCAAGGGTAACGACAGGGATGTTGAAAACCCACGAATGACAGATGGAGATACGGCACCAGGTAGTTCGAAGAACTCATGTGGTTCGACTGAGCTGGGCTCCCAGAAGACTAGGGAGGAGAAGCCACATGGGCATAGGAGGACAGCTAGTGCTAGTGCTGACATTGGTGCCTTGAAGATTGCAGTTTTCGACGATGGATACGTACCAAGTTCTTCTGCTATGATGGTTGAGCATCCTGTACGAAAGATTCCAAGTATGTCTGGGTTTCTTAGTTCCATGGAAACCGCATCAAAGTTGAAGTGGTCAAAGAATGGTTTTAGGAAGTGGAAGGCAGTGGACTGTCATGAAGATGCTGATGCTGCATTTTTGCCATCTACTCAGTTAACTAGGGTATGTATGCTTTATTCCTTTGATTTAATTTACTACGAGACCTTACATCCTTGGCATTGTGTTACTAATGATTAAAATTCTTGTTTTCCGTTTAGGGCATCAATGCTTGCTTTGAAAAAAATAAGAGTTGTCTGGATAGTTGCGATGAATGTTACGATAAACCATTGTATGGCTGGTACGGAGCTATTCAAAGACAACTTCAAAGGTCTCAGTACTATATGCAATATAGTTGGCCTGCCCGTGTAGCTCTTTGGATTGTTATTCTCCTTTTCTTGATTGGTAAGCTTCACAAAACCCTGCCAATGTTGAGATGCAATTTGGACATGAATATTTGTCCGAATAGCTAAAGCATATGTGTTTCTTACCCAGCTAATTCATCTTCCGAATGATTTTTTTTAAATGTTTGTCGTGATGAACCGAGTCTGTCTTTTTCTGTCATTTCTTGTTGAAGGGTATTTTTGTATTCATGAGTTTGGCATTTTCGTTCTTTGCAGTTTTAATTGCATTGCGTGCGATCTGAGCTGTAGTAGATCACGACAGCGCAAGGAGAAATCTGTCAATCGATGGACATAGAAGTAGGAATATTGTGTTCAAATGAATACATTATTCTCACACATTGTTGAAGTGCCAAGCGGTGAGCACAACCTAGAGAACCGTCAAAGGATTCCACTTTTGTTTTGCTGTTTTCCTCCTCCAATTTTGATACCTTTGAAGGAGGGAAAACTCTCTTGTATTATAACTACAAGCAATATCAGAGAAAATCATAAGCCAAAAGATATTCGCTATGTGCTACTGCATCTCGTAATATAATTTTTTCGTTTCTCTTTCGTGTAACTTCATGCACTGGTACTGATTCTGTAGCTTATAACATATAGAAATTTTAAGCTTACTTTCGATATGACCAACGCAGTTGTGTAAGGTAGAAGCAGCGTTCATTTGGAATCGAGAGAGAGATATTCTAGAAACTCAAATTGAAGTATTGCATACATCAAACAATCCTCCCCTTTTTCTCTACATTGGCACCCTAAGTCGGCTTGCGTAGCGACGTTAGTTGGGTCTGCAGTTACGAGTTCAGACACGGAAATGATGAGGAAATGGCGTGACGAAGAGCCATCGCGAGGCACGAATGTCCTGGTTGCTTTTCTGTACGGCATCATCATGTTCCTTCTTGCCGAAGTCTATGCCCTGGATGTGACCCCAGATGAATGATACTGACTACCAAAGGCGGTGCCAAAGCCCCATCCAAGACCTAGTCCAACGCTACAGCCTCCGCCTTCGATACAAAATATCGAGTTAATGATATACACATAATGATGCGATTGACGTGGATCCGATACATTCTGAAACTATAAACGAGAGTATCCGGGTTGATTAAAAGGAAAAGGGTATACCTTACGTACACCAAGGCCCAAGAAGCTCAAAGGCGTGCCTGTAGCAAAAACATGTATAACATGTCAGTATGAAAACAAATTAGTACTTGGTGGTTTCGCGGTCGATCACATATAAATAAGTATAAATAAGCATGACAATTCATTAATACTAGTTGATGGGGGCGAACATATACTAAGCACATAATATGATCAAGTAAACATGATGAAAAAGGATCTCAATTGCCGTCAGCTGCTCAATTGATAATCATCCAACTATTAGCATGCTTTTGAGGTTTGTAAACAGGGTTAACTGTCTTCAATCGGGAGATAGACACCGTTGAAATTTCTCACTCTGGATAACGGAGAAGAACCACCGACCATTCCTTTCAGTTAAATTGCCCTCCCTCCAAGAGAAAACGGATTCCATTTACATCACATCAGTCTTGAACAAATGTTCACCCAACTACATATGACAGTGAAGAAGCAAGTAGAGGATGAACCAAATGAAATCATCTGCTTACTGTCCCTTCACGAGTCGCTACAAAATTTCCTTTTCTTAAAGATAGGACAGAGACACCGTCAAATGACCACAAAAACACAAGATTCACGAAGATGATAAGGTGATCAGAACACCACCACCTCCTCCTCCTCATCCATACTTCAACCATTGAGAATTGGTCCTTTCAGGAGTCACAATACGCGAACTACACACTTCGAAAGTTTTTTCTTCTTTTCTCAAGCACCGCAATTATATTCACTTTTGACACCATTTGCCTATTGGCTGCACAATATGCATCTAGATGCGTACGTTGTAAACTTGTAACAATTTATAGAAAGGCCCAACTAATACAAAACTATGCTAAGAAAATAAGCACAAAAAACTGTTTCAATTCTTCTAATTCACAGTCCGATTCGAATTGTTATAAAGATTAAACATTTTCACAAAGATGAATTGGAAAATGCAATCAAAATCGAACAGGGAGAAGGAACCAACCTCCGAAACCCCATCCAACGCCGAAACCGCAGCCAGCACCAAATCCTGAAGAAAACGAACTGAATTGGTCACGACCTCATCGCACATAAAGATTATAACCCAATAAGCTTCCTGAAATCGTACCGAATCCGACTCCAGCTCCATTGAAGTTGGTTAGCACCATCGCTGTTTGCAGGTCGGAACTAGAGATCAAGATTCAGCATTTACATATTCGGTGTAAATTTAAGTGAATAATAATCAAATTAATCGGGAATTTGAGTGGCCGAAGTTCATATGAAATCAAGGAGGGACATACCTACGAGCCTCCAATAATGGCGACCGGTTCCGAGTCCGACTGCAATGAGGTGTGCTTAACACTCTCCTCTCTTCGTTTGTTTATCAAACTAGCTAAAATGAACCGCGGGCCAGTCGGCTCTCAAATGAAGCCCTTTACGGAATGGATGTACCCCTTGCAGGCTTGGGCCAGCCCATGCATTCCTTTCAATAGAACTTACGTAATTTGCTTTTCCCGCCAATAGGCAAAGAAATATTTGAAATTATTACAACTTTTATATAGAAGGATATTGGGTCGTGCTTATTTCCTCAATTGTGAAAGTCGTTGTCGTACTTATTTCATCAAATGTGAAAGTCGAATGAATCGACGAATCTTTTTACTTTTCATTTGTAGTAAAGAATAATAATATTAAAGTACAACAATCCAGTATAAAATATTACAATTTTTATATACGTCATTTATAAGAAGTACGAGTATGAAGTAGGGGTCCGTATCCCCACAAAGAGGGAGTCAATTGAAGATCTCGGGCATTGGCGGGAATTTCGCCTGCTACAAGCTTTTTCACGGGAGGCCAAGATGCGCTGCATGCCAAATCATAAACGCATGATTTCGACTAGCTCGATAAGGCATTACGTTAGGTTTCAGGTCCTGCGTCAAAATGTTAAAGAGGTTTCATTACTTACCTTTTATGTAAGGAGAATATAGGGGAGGAAAGTGAATATAAGTTCGTTTACTGCATCCCGGTCAGCATATTGAACTTATCCTAATGTTAACTATTTACTCTCACTCCACATAAGTTAGGAACTTATGATTACTATTATTGATTGCATGATTATATAATTCTATTTTAAATCTTCATTAGCATAAGGTGTTATTTAATAACACAGATAAGGAAATGTATTGATCTCTTACATGACGGTATGAGTTTAAATTCTATCAATGATTATTCTAATAAAATCTATCGTTTGACAAAAAAAAACGAAAACAAATAACACAGATAACTAGATGACAAAGATCCATGTTGGTTACGATGTGGACAAGTCTTGTAGCCCATGAACAATGTCACGAACTTGCGGCTGACGCTGGAGGTGGGGGGCTACCGCCTTTGTCATGGCTCTTGTTAAAACACCAAAATAGTCTCTTTGGCCTCGTTTGGCAGCTCGGACCGTACTGACTATTTCAGTCGGATAGGATAAATAGTCGTCGGATAGGACTGACTAAATTAATCGGGCGTTTGGTGTTGTATCAGATTAATTTATACATCGGATAATAGGTCGGACTATAATAATTATTTTAAATAATTTCACAAAATAAGTGTTGTTCAAATGAAAAAAAAAGGAAGAAAAACAGGTGAGGAAAAAAAAAAAAAGCATCATTACACAGACAAAAATTAAAAAAAAAAAAAAAAAAAACCTAGATCTCTTCCCACTTCCCAATCATGTCTTCCTATCTTCACCATCTTCCCCACGCATCAATTCCCACCCTCCCATATGAACCCACTTCCTTATTTCTTCAAATCTCCCAAAACCCATATTGATTCACCAACCAAAAAAAAAAAAAAATCCCAGAAATTAAATATTTTCAATGCTAATAAACCAAATTTTATCATCGGAGCCTAGCTCCCTTCCTTGTCGGAGCCCAGCTCCCTACCTCCTCCTCGTCCTTCTCGTTGGAGCCTAGATCAGAAGAATTTGAATCATCATCTTCTTCCTTCAACCCACGGAAGTATTGTTGTCCTGTCAAAGATCGAAGGCGAACGGAGGAGGTGGGAGGTGTGTGTGTGTGAAGGAGGAGGGAGGAATAGAAAGAAAAAAAGAAGACGACAAAGATGAACTTGACATCTAGACGAGAGAGAGCAGGCAGGTGAGATGGTTGAAGGAGTCATGCAAGAGAGGAACGGAGTGAGCAAGAGAAATCTCACCTGACTAAATAATACAGAGGTTTTGGACGGGATTCGTAAGCGGGTGGGAGGGGTATAAAATAAGTGGGGCCGGATTAAATAATCCGGTGCTTATTTAATACGAAGCTCACCAAACACCCGTTTCGTATTATTAATACTATCCGATGGTCTTATATGGTGTGCCAAACGAGGCCTTTATGTGCTTCACCGTCCAGACAGTCCGCCTCATACAAGGGCTAAGTTGCAATGATTTGTAATTTCGGAGATGCAGTTTGCTAATATATAGACTTCAGGGACCAATTTAATGGACATTTAACGGAAAATTACTTTTGAACTAAATTTACTAACAAAGTATTACCGTGAAGGCTTAAATCCTAATTTTTTAACCATATGACTTATCTTTCAATTACCTTATTATCACGAATATCGTTTATTCAATTAGGCATTTTTTATATTTTTGGGAGTGGGCTTGGAGCTGGGCCTTAATCTCATCCGAACAAAAGAAGATAAAGCCTCCACGTAAGTGTTAATACATGGCACAATTAATCATCTAGAGGATAAAGACATTCCGACCGCAACTCCCTGTGAGTATACGGCTCAGAAATGTTGTAAATCGAAGACTGCAAGTTAGAAATCCGATCAAAAAACTTGTGAAAGTAATTTACAATTTCTCAGAGAATTCCAAATCCAAGATCATGAGCTGGTGGTGGGCCGGAGCTGTTGGCGCTGCTAAGGCAATCACAACCACAACTCCTACTGCATCGATCCCTTCCAATTTTTAATTTATTTTTTCCTAAATACCCTTTTTAATTCCCATTTTTGCAGAAAAAATTCGATGAAGAGGAACCGCCGCGAACTCCCCAGAGCGTGGGTCTCGTGATTGGCGTCACCGGCATCGTCGGCAACAGTCTCGCCGAGATCCTTCCCCTCTCCGACACCCCTGGCGGCCCATGGAAGGTCTACGGCGTCGCGCGCCGTCCCCGCCCCAACTGGAACGCCGACCACCCTGTCGAGTACATCCAATGCGACATCTCCGATCCCGACGATGCCAAAACCAAGCTCTCTCCGATAACCGACGTAACGCACATTTTCTACGTCACATGGACCAATCGATCCACCGAGGCAGAGAACTGCGAGGCTAACGCCGTTATGCTGCGCAACGTTCTGAATTCCGTTATACCGAACGCACCGAAGCTCCAGCACGTGTGCCTCCAGACCGGGGCCAAACACTACGTCGGGCCGTTCGAGTTGTTCGGCAAGATTCAACCTCACGAACCACCGTTTACGGAGGATCTGCCCAGATTGGACGCCCCGAATTTCTACTACACCCTTGAGGACTTACTGTTTGCGGAGGTGGCGAAGAAGGAGAACTTGACTTGGTCGGTGCACCGACCCGATGCGATATTCGGGTTTTCCCCTTACAGCATGATGAACATCATTGGCACGCTGTGCGTGTACGCCGCGATATGCAAGCACGAGGGGAGGCCACTGAAGTTTCCGGGAAGCAAAGCGGCGTGGAACTGTTACTCGGTGGCGTCGGATGCGGATCTGATAGCAGAGCAGCACATATGGGCGGCGGTGGACCCGTATGCGAAAAATGAAGCGTTTAATATCAACAACGGGGATGTGTTCAAGTGGAAGCATTTCTGGAAGGTGCTGGCGGAGCAGTTTGGGATAGAGGAGTACGGGATTGATGAGGGAGGCGGGAGGCTGAGCTTGGTGGAGCTGATGAAGGGGAAGGAGAAGGTGTGGGAGGAGATAGTGAGGGAGAACGAGCTGCAGCCGACGAAGCTGGCGGAGGTGGGAGTGTGGTGGTTTGTGGATGTTTGGTTGAGCGGAGAAGGGTTGTTGTGCAGCATGAACAAGAGTAAGGAGCATGGGTTTTTGGGGTTTAGAAATTCCAGGAATTCGTTTGTTACTTGGATTGATAAGATGAAGGCTTTCAAGATTGTGCCGTGATCGACTGATGACTCTCTTGAAATAATTTTGTCCTCAATGCGGTGATGGTGGTGTTTGGGTTTTGGGGATATTTTGTTGTGATTTTTCTTGCTCTTTTTCTACTTGAATTCACAATAAATTATACAAACTTACTTTGTTGTATGGAAAATTGATAGATAAATGTGCTATCGAGCCTCATCATCTTTTTCTCCTCAAGTTTTTTTAGATGGTTTTCTAGCCTTTGGATTTGATAAATTACGGGACACGTACATTTTTCGATTCAATCAAATTCATTAGTTTGTAGAGCTATTCACTCGATCGCTACATTTCTGAAACATGTTAGAAGGACAACAATAAAAAGGGAAAAAAAAAAAAAAAGGAATAGTGAAAATGACTACCAATTCCAAAAATTTACCCCATTTTGTTTAGACTTTTTAGCTATAATGGTCCCTAAGATTTGTCCCTTATTAATCATTTTGTTCTACTATGAAAAATCTTTATTTTTAAATAAGAATAAAATAACAAAAATACTCTCAATTTTTATCAAATCATTTGGCCCATTGTTTATTAAATTAAGGATATTTTTGTTATTTTGGTCCTTATTTAATATAATTTTTTATAAATGATTAAAATGATTGATGGTGAACAAACTCATGATCATTTCTATTGATTTTAAATTTTAAGGACCAAAATGATAAATTATACTAATATCATTTTGGTTAAAAAAACCTTTTGTTTAATAAAGGGAATCGCTAGTGGGTTTCTTTCCACTCTCTTTTCTCATCATTTATTTTAAGGAAATTTTATTTAAACTCATCTAACCTATTTTACACCCAACTTACTATTTGCATCCATTTAATTTTTAACTAAATTATTAATATCTCTTTAAATCCAAATTTAATACCTAATATACCCCCATAAACCCAGTTCAATATGTGAATTTATTTTTACACCTATTTGATTTTTAGAAGCTAAATTTGATGGCAGGAAGCTCCTCCTGTAATTTGGCAAGGAAGTGGTCTAAAATTCGTACCAACAATCTGAACTTGACTTCCTTGGTCTGGCCCCCGTACTTATTCCATTCCACAACTCTCCCACCAGGACTTTGCATGGGCCGCCATGCTCCTTGACAGGCCACCCAAACAAATTAGGATCAGCAGATGCTTTTGTGGCAAGCGACTCCATGCACTTTTTTGGAATGTTGAGTTCTTCAACATAAGGGAGAATGTCATCACAAGTTTGAAATTGCTGATCGTATCGAAGTTAGATCATGGTTTTCTAATTGCAACTCATGGTTTGCCAATTCATAAATTGAAACCAAATGAACAAAAAATTCATAAATTGAGTCATATCTTGGTTGGAGGATTCAAAACTTCAAAATCACCATCCATCAATAAAAAAAAAACTTATTTTTCTCTATGAGAGTTATTAGGGTTTTAGCTATAATGAACGTAGGATAAACAAATAGTGATCGTAGGGTTATTATAGTGTTTGGGTTTATTGATAAATTTGAGTTTTATTATTAATTTCATTTTGTAGTTAATAGTAATTATGTAATATGATAAAATAGACAATTAACATTTAAAATTTAAATTGGGATTTAAATGAAATTTCCTTTTATTTTACATTTCCGAACGCTTCTGATTTTCAAGTTACCAAACACAAAGGGAAGCAATCTACCATTCAAAAGCCTTATTTCTCAAAGACAAACGTAGATCTATCAATGTAGCCCAAATGGACCCAAATTCTAATCCAAATCTAACGTGATTAGTAGGAGTATTTTAGGTTCTCAATCAACTAATTTGATCACGATTTGAATCACATAACCCATTAGCTTAATGAACCTTGTTGATACGGAAATCATAGTGGGTCGGTCAAAGAAGGTCAAAATAATAATTGGATTAAAACCTAAGGTCTAAACAAGAGAAGAACCAAACGTAGGCCCAATGGCCCAAAATCCTAGGCAGGGATCGATCACCCCTGGCCCAATTGTCGCGGGAGGTTGGTTGATACGCCCCTGTGCGACCAACTTTACCACGTCGCCTACCAACAACTTGCGGGTAAAGAAGAATGTACATCATTTTTAACGTATTGATCGATTCGACAAATGTGATTCCTATTTTATTAGTGGGACAGACGATGGGGCGGCCATGACATGCCCGCACAATCATTGATCCCGCTAGGAGAAATGTTTTATCATGAAACATTACGTACTTACTTACATCTAAATAATGATAAATTGTATTTTTTAAATTATTAAAATTTTAAAATATGTATCTTATTATTTATTATTTATATAGTAACACATTATAATTTATACGATTCCATTGAAAAATATCCTCTATAAAAGAACATTTGAACCCGCAATTTCCAGTAGGTGGTGTACTAGAGACTGACAGTTATACTCTCAGCTGGCATTCATTCCTCAGCTTTCCACCCCAAAACCATAATCCCCAGTTCTATCATCCATCCAATCTCATCGTCTTCTCTCTCACCACTCCAAATCCAAATCCATGAGCTGGTGGTGGGCCGGAGCTGTTGGCGCCGCCAAGGCAATTACAATCTCAACTACTCCGTTGATCCTTTCAATTTTTCTATTTTTGCTTAATTAACGTTTTAATTTTGATTTTTGCAGAAAAAAGCCGATGAAGACGAACAGCCGCGAGCTCCCGAGAGCGTGGGACTCGTGATCGGCGTCACCGGTATAGTCGGCAATAGCCTCGCCGAAATCCTTCCTCTCTCCGACACACCCGGTGGCCCATGGAAGGTCTATGGCGTTGCGCGCCGTCCCCGCCCGAACTGGAGCGCCGACCACCCTATCGAGTACATCCAGTGCGACGTGTCTGATCCCGACGATGCTAAAACCAAGCTCTCTCCGTTAACGGACGTCACCCACCTTTTCTACGTCACGTGGTCCAGCCGATCCACCGAGGCGGAGAACTGCGAGGTTAACGGCAATATGCTGCGCAACGTTTTGGAATCCGTCATCCCGAACGCTCCCAATCTCCGCCACATCTGCCTCCAGACCGGTGGCAAACACTATCTCGGACCGTTCGAGTCGTTTGGCAAGATCCAGCCGCACGATCCGCCGTTTACGGAGGACCTGCCTCGACTGGATACCCCGAATTTCTATTACACACAGGAGGACCTTTTGTTTGCTGCGGTGGAGAAGAAAGAGGATCTGACTTGGTCGGTGCACCGGCCCGATATGATTTTCGGGTTTTCCCCTTACAGCTTGATGAATATTGTCGGCACGCTCTGCGTCTACGCCGCGATATGCAAGCACGAGGGGCTGCCGCTGAGGTTTCCGGGAAGCAAAGCTGCGTGGAATTCGTACTCGGTGGCTTCGGATGCTGATCTGATAGCGGAGCACCACATATGGGCGGCGGTGGACCCGTATGCGAAAAACGAAGCGTTTAACATCAACAACGGGGATGTGTTCAAGTGGAAGCATTTCTGGACGGTGCTGGCGGAGCAGTTTGGGATAGAGGAGTACGGGATTGATGAGGGAGGAGGGAGGCTGAGCTTGGCGGAGCGGATGAAGGGGAAGGAGGGGGTATGGGAGGAGATAGTGAGGGAGAATGAGCTGAAGGAGACGAAGCTGGAGGAGGTGGGAGTGTGGTGGTTTGTGGATGTAGTGCTGGGTGGGGAGGGTGTGCTTTCTAGCATGAACAAGAGCAAGGAGCATGGGTTTGTGGGGTTTAGAAACTCGAGGAATTCGTTTGTTACCTGGATTGATAAGATGAAATCTTTCAAGATTGTGCCTTGATCGATTCATGATTGCATCGGTGGATTGGTGATGTTGGTTGTTGGGTGCTGCTGGGTGCGGGCAAGTGTTTGTTTTGGGTTTATTGTTCATGTTCTATATGTAAGTTAGCACACTCTAGTGTTGTGATTCTAGTGTTTTAAGTATGAGAGTTTATGAATGAAATGTGCATAATATATTTACGACGGTTGTAACCCCTCTGGCGAAATTGTGTTATGATTTTATTTATGACGGTGGTATGGTGAAATTATGTTACGATATTGGAGAATGAAGACATAATTTCCATTGGGTCTGATTGGGCTTCAAATGGATGTTTCGACTCGGAGGAATATGATTTTCTGGCAGATTGAGATGTTGTGGTTAAGCAACCCCTCTGGTCTGATACCAAAGCCCCATAGTCATTTGCTCAACAAGAGAGTCCGATGTGTAAGCTAACAAAACGGAGAAGCAGACCACTACTGACTATAATTCTGGACGGTGTTATGTTTAACTTTTTTTGTTGGAGATGGCCTAAGCACCCAACTTTAGGCCCTTGATTATACACAACTTTTTTGTAATCGTAACCTCAAATTTTTTCATGATTAGAACAAAACAGTGAAGCACTCTCGCCAGCAACCACCGGAGTAGCGACTAAATTGAAAGTGGATCTGCAAAGAGCGGAACCGATGCGGATCCGGAGTAGCCGCAAGACGTATTCCTTTAGTTTCTTGACACAAACACGTTATTGATGTTTTCTTGGGCCAATCGTGAGTATTTAAAAACACAAGAACATTTGTTACATTATTATCCATTCGTATAATTTGTAAGGAGACTCAAGTATTGTAATTGCTGGAATTTTCAAGGTGGCAAGAGGTGTGGGTAACATTCTTTGTGAGTCCAGTCTTATGGCGGAGGCGGAGGCAATACAGGCAGGATTGGTGGCATGCGTGGATAAAGGGTTTGATGTTGTCCAAGTGGAATCAAATTCAAAGGAACTTGTGGACGTAATCAGCGAAATCACTTAACTAAACGTTGTGATTGAAGGTCCTCTATTTGATATTAAGTGTATAAAAATGCAATTGAGGTCAATAGATTTTATTTTTGCTCCTCGAGTCTGTAATCGTGCAACACATTTAATGGCGTCTTTTGTCTTACGTATGGGAGGATTTTAAACATGGAATTTGTTTGAGCCAAAGTGGTTGTTCAACACTTTGACTTCTGATGAAAACGTTTTTATTCGAGTTTAATAAAATCTTTCTTTCAACCAAAAAAAGAAGAAGTATTGTCATTGCTTTAACAGGGATTCAAAATTATAGTTACTCTTCCCTAAATAGTTAGTTAATGGGGAAAGATGGTCTGAACTTGCATCTCTACTAACATCGTTTATAGAACATTAAACTAGAACTAATTGATACGCACGTTGAATATTACATGTAGAATCAAGAAATTTAATCAAGGATAGACTAAGATCAACATTTACGAAGATCCAGAGATTGTGTTATGAGTTATATATTACAATTTATATGTTTATTTATATATACGGGATATATATTCTTATTTTTCTTCTCTTAATCTCTGTCCAAATAACAGCTCATATGAATCTTGGAATTAATTATATACACAAATCCTTTCTTTTGGGCACATGCATGAGATGCTTGCACTTTATTTTTTTGGATATCCTTATTTTTATGCTTGGAGCACGTGAGATGTCACGCAAGATGCAATAAAATATTAAAGATGATTAATTAATATCAATTATGGCTAATCATAAGTCAACTGTTTTATTTAACTCTGTCAAGAAACGGATTCAGAAATATAAATACACATGTTAGGCTCGATCTATTTACAATCTTCCTTCTTTTTCTCCTCTGATCAATCGAAATGAGCTGGTGGTGGGCAGGGGCTGTTGGAGCTGCCAAGGTGACAACCAACTACTAATTGCTGTACCTTCTTATCTAATTATAATCATCATTCAAGTAAACATGAATTTAATTTGCAGAAGAAATACCAAGAAGATAACGAACCACCAAAAAGCCCCAAGAGCGTAGGGCTGGTAATCGGCATAACCGGCATAGTGGGCAACAGCCTTGCAGAAATCCTCCCGCTATCCGACACGCCCGGTGGTCCATGGAAGGTTTATGGAGTTGCCCGGCGTCCGCGGCCGCACTGGAACGCAGACCACCTAGTGTACTACATCCAATGCGACATCTCGGACGCGGACGACACTGAAAAAAAGCTCTCCAAATTAAGTGATGTTACCCACATCTTCTACGTTACTTGGACTAGCCGGTCCACGGAGGCCGAAAATTGCGAGGCCAACGCCGCCATGTTGCTCAACGTTTTGCGCATTGTTATTCCAAACGCGCCGAATCTCCGTCATGTGTGCTTGCAGACCGGAACCAAACACTACATCGGATCATTTGAGACGTTTGGGAAAATTGATCCCCACGACACGCCATGTTCGGAAGATCTGCCGCGATTGAATGCGCCTAATTTCTATTATGCCCTCGAGGACGTGTTGCTTGAAGAGTTGGGGAAGAAGGAAGATATCACTTGGTCCGTCCATAGGCCCGGGGTTACTTTCGGGTTTTCGCCTTATAGTTTAGTGAACATTGTTGCCATGCTGAGTGTGTACGCGGCAACAGGCAAGTACGAAGGGGTGCGTTTGAAGTTTCCCGGAAGCAAAGGGGCTTGGAACTGCTACTCCGACGCTTCAGATGGGGATCTGATAGCGGAGCAGCAGATATGGGCGGCCGTGGACCCGTACGCCAAAAATGAAGCGTTTAATGTCAACAATGGGGATGTTTTCAAGTGGAAGCAGTTATGGAAGGTGTTGGCTGAGCAGTTTGAGATTGAGGAGTATGGGTTTGATGAGGAGGGCGAGAAGCTGAGCTTGGCGGGGCTGATGAAGGAGAAAGAGGGGGTGTGGGAGGAGATAGTGAGGGAGAATGAGCTGGAGCCGATGAAGTTGGCGGAGATGGGACAGTGGTGGATGGTGGATCTTGTGTTGGGTGGGGAAGGTGTGATGTCTAGTATGAACAAGAGTAAGGAACATGGGTTTGTGGGGTTTAGAAACTCTAGGAATTCCTTTGTCAGTTGGATTCATAAACTGAAAGCTTTTAAGATTGTGCCTTGATGGTTGTCTTTGATTGTTAATGCTTTTAATTAGTTTGATGATGGTGTTGATTTTTAGGGTTTGGGAAAATGTTTTGTTGTGGGTTTCATATGTTCTTGTGAACTACTTGAGTTCTATAATAATGTTTTGTTCTGAAATTTTTATCAATATTGAATGAACTTAGAGCATCTTTAAAGAAGTGTTAAATTTTATACGTGGCAATTTAACATTTTATACAATCTTTTGCTTCATTCGATATGTTGAATAATAATGTAATTCTGTAATTTTTTAAAGGTAATGCTAGGAAGACATGTAAGAACCTGAAGGCTCTGTTGGAGACAGTTTGCTGCCATTTATTATTTTATATCTACGTAACAGTTTTAACATCTCTTTTAAAGATACTCTTAGAATACTACCGCGTGTTGGTGTTTTTGGGTTGACGTGTTTGAGGTCCTCTTTTGCTGATTACAAGTCTAGCTCTGTCTAAATTTGGCCTCATTAAAGTCCTGTGTTGACTTCTCAATATACGTCAAACTAATAGTATACATATCTTAATTGAAAAGATAATACTTGGGAGATCAAATTTTTAAACCGATTTTGCCATCCAAATAATGTGCCACCAATAACAAATAAATAACACTTAATTGATAATCTAATCATCAACATCTATATCATTTTGTTTACAAAATTTGGTTTAAAAATTTGATCTTCCAAGCATTCTGTAATGAAAAAATATCAACCCAAAAGTAAAACTTCATTCCTAAAGCTATGAAATGAAGGAAGAAAACGATGGTAGTCTATGATCAGCTAGTGCGCTCATCCCGAAGCATGGGAAGGACACGTGACAATCACCTCGAAAACCTTCGCTTGCTTGGAGGCTCATGCAGCACAACTAGCGAGCAGAGCCAGTCACAACTATCGATCAACTACTTGATGCTCCGGTAGTATTGTATGATGTCTGTATTACAGACAAAGACCCGCTTCTTGTGAAATTTGGTATCATGTGGAAGATCTATGATATGGTTGGTGATATTTTCTTATCTATTCGAAGATAATTCAAAGAATAAAATTGAATGAACAAACAAGTGCATCTAACTTTTAGATGTTGAAAAAACCTCGTACAAATTAAAGAAAACGTATGCTTATTATCTATTTACAGTGTTATTTGTATTGTCTCTTTAATAAAAATAAGGTCCATTATGTATGTCTCGTCTCTATTAGAGAAACGATACAAATGATGGTACAAATAAAATGTAAGAATAACATTTTTTATTGTAACTACATATGCATGTTATAGGTACTCTCCCTATGCTTCATTTTCTTATTTGTACACACACACACACACACACATATATATATATATATATATATATATATATATGTATATGAACTCTATCTCTCTCTCTCTCTTCTTCATCATGATACATTTCATGGAACAATCTTGTAAGCCTTCATCTTCTTAATCCACGAAATGAAGGACTTTTTGGAATTTCTGAATCCCAAAAAGCCATGCTCTTTGCTCTTATTCATACTGTCCAACACAGCCTCCCCACTAAACACAATGTCAGCAAACCACCACACCGCCACCTCCTCCAACTTGGTCGGCTGCAGCTCATTCTCCCTCACAATCTCCTCCCACACACCGACTTTCCCCTCCATCATCTCTACCAACCTCAGCCTACCACTCTCCTCCTCATCAAACCCATACTCCTCAATCCCAAACTGCTCAGCCAACACCTCCCAAAAATGTTTCCACTTAAACACATCTCCATTGTTCACGTTAAACGCTTCGTTTTTCGCATACGAATCCACTGCCGCCCATATATGTTGCTCCGCTATCAAATTTGCATCCGAAGCCACCGCATAACACTCCCAAGCCGCTTTGCTTCCGGGAAACTTCAAAGGTCTTCCTTCCTTCTTACATATAGCAGCATAAACACAAAGCGCACCGATTATGTTCATCAAGCTATAAGGAGAAAACCCAAAAATATTATTAGGCCGATGTACCGACCAAGTTAAACCCTTTTTTTTCTTGACCTCTTCGAACAATATGTCTTCAAGAGTGTAGTAAAAATTGGGCACGTCAAGCCTGGGCAAGTCCTCCGTAAACGGCGGGTCGTGGGCTTTGATTTTCCCTATAGACTCAAACGGCCCGACATAGTGTTTGGCCCCGGTCTGCAAGGACACGTGGCAGAGGTTCGGTGCCACTGGGATAATAGCACGCAGGACGTTGCGGAACATGGCCCCGTTGGCCTGGCAGTTCTCGACCTCGGTGGCTCTACTGGCCCATGCCACGTAAAATATGTGTGTGACATCGGTTAGTTGTGACAACTTGATTTTGGTGTCTTCTGCATCGGACACGTCACACTGAATGTAGTCAACGGGATGATCAACGTTCCAGTTCGGGCGGGGACGGCGCGCGACCCCGTACACTTTCCACGGACCGCCGGGGGTGTGAGGGAGTGGGAGGATTTCGGCTAGGCTGTTGCCCACTATGCCCGTAACGCCGACCACTAGCGCCACGCTTTGATGACCTCTTGATGATGGGGCGTCAACTCGTTCCAATTTTTTCTGAAAAATGCATGTCAAGTTAATGTATATTTGAACACAAACGCTTTTGAACAAAAGTAATGCTTCTTATATACAGAAATTAGTCCCAAACAAATCTAAGTTCACTATTAAGAAGGTAGCTGTGGTTGATATTGTTACGGTGGCAGCGCTAGCAGCTCCGGCCCACCACCAGCTCATTTTGATTTGGCTACAAATTACAAACAGAAGAGATGCAGGAGCGAGCAACCGATGTTGATCAAAAGATTGAATATTCGACTTTTGTTGGTGCTATTTCTCTCTTTTTATAGAAGACAAGGGGCTCCATCTTTCCTCATATATGACGCAAGCTCTTAGCTAGCTAGCTATGAGACTATGACCAATATGCATATGCATGAAATTTCTAATTGAGTAAGAATAGTGTATAAACGAGCCTAACCTTGGATATGCATGAAATTTCTAATTGAGACTATGACCAATAATGGATATGATTGAAAAGACTGGTGGGTAATGAATGCCCACAGTGCATTGGTAGAAGTTTTCCAGTGTTCGTAGAAGTTTTCAATACCCATACAAATTGAAAACTGACTTTGGGGGATGCAGGATATCATATTGTCAAAAAGGATGTTGTAAATTTCAAATGTAGTAATACGAGTTGCTCTATAAATAGAGCACTCGACTACAATCAAAAGATACAAAAAACAAAAATCAATAACATCCGTATCCATTCCTCTCTCTTTATTTGTCATTCACTTGAGTTATAATTACAGTATGATGTTTTACCTCTGCCTCGCTCCATTCACTAAAAGATTGTCTCTCTAACTTTGACCTATTTATAACATTAACATGATTTTCAACCTAATCAAAGCGAAGTGAGAATTCCGGCAAAATTAAAAGAAAAGCATGTAAAGAAAAAAGAAATCAAATTTTTTTAGTACTTCATCTCAAAAGCCAGAAATTCATCTACTGCCACAGTGGCAGGGCAGCACCCATTTCCGTTGATATAATTAAACAGGATACATGAGCAAAGAAATCATCATTATATCTTGCAGATCAACCGTCATAAAATACATCAATGGATCATCTAACAAATAAAAAAAACAAAGCACAGTGAAGGCGCAAGATTACGATTACGTTGATCGCCAACTTACATCCATACACAGAAAAAGCAGCTGAACTTTGGTTTATAAAATTGCAGGCTGCCTTCTCTCTTCCTGCCTTTTAACAATTCACCAGTAACATTATCTCACTAAAAACTTATATTAGCAAATCCAATGACGAATAATGTGAAACTGAAGCTGTAAAAGATGAAATTACCATCTGGTTTTTCCTCATGGGAATTTGTGTGAGTTTCGGCTTCATGTGCACTTTGAATTAATCATTTCCCCTTTTACCCAAGACTCTTTAAAGGAGCTGCTCCTCCTCCATTTCCACTTCGGCCTCTTCACTAATCTCATGATCAAATCCTAGTAAATGTAACAACCCATGTATCTGCAGGAGGGTTCAGTGATCGAAGTCATCAAACTACACTAAAAAGCATCGCTCTGAATTAATCGGTTCTCCAACGAAAAAAATCCTTGAACCATGAGAACACGTATATCATCAATAAGCGTGTGACCTCTTTCCTCCGCTTACCTTGTTGCTGTCTCAACAGAAATCACAATGTCACCCAACATAAGTTACATATAATACAAATGTTCAGTGATTAAAATTATGCTAAAAGAAATGGAACCAAAAAACTAAAAAAGAATGAGATAGAATAATGGGAAGCTTAAGAGTTGGGACATGCTGCGACAGCGAAAGACATCAGTGGCATGGTCCTTGTTTCTCCGTTCTTTGTTCAGTATTCAGATGAACTCCTCGTTGCAGAGAAGAGCTTTCGAATCCACCAACGTAAAACTCCATGTACTTCACAAACCAAGCGCATGTGTGGCAATGCCTGAGCAAAAACAAAGAGCAGCCGGCTCAACAAAATCATCTCTACTTGAATAATTTCCCATCCTGCTTCCACTAAGTGCTTCCCCTAACTCACAAAATAAGCAATCTCTTCCGGTAGCACACTTAGTCATCCATCTTAGCATTCATCTCATTACTATCACAGAAATGTCTTAAATTTCACTTATATATGCAGCATTCATTTCTCGAATACATACATAGATAGTGGTATGCCCTCCAGAGCCTGACTTTGAAGAAAAGCTTCGTGGAAATTCATCGGTTCACCGCCAACAACAGAGTCATAATACAAAACCTAATTATATTACCAAAAAATCGTAAGTTTCAACAACAAACTACACTCCAACCAAACCAATAAAACCGAATGAAATGAAATAAAATTGCAAAAACAAAACAAAATCGAACCAGAGATATTCTTTTTCGAATCTTATTCATGTCATCAGCAGCAACAGGCTGTTTCGGCACATTTTCCTTCTCTTCCACAGAACCCTGAGAAAGCTTCAGCCTCTCCACCTCTTTAAGCAGCAGCACTCACCTTCTCAATATCTCTGAGTCTTTCGGGTCTCCCGCAGGAAACAGCTGCTTCCTCCCATCTCTGTATACTCTTCTTCACACTCCTAAAGCTCCGACCTCCCTGTAAACAAAAGCGAATGAGAAAAGCCATGCTCTTTGCTCTTATTCATACTGTCCAACACAACCTCCCCACCAAACAGAGTCAACAAATCACCACGCTGCCACCTCCCCCACCTTTGTCGGCTACAGCTCATTCTCCCCCACAATCTCCTCCCATACACCGACTTTCCCCCCATCATCTCCACCAACCTTAGCCCAGCACTCTCCTCCTCATCAAACCCATACTCCTCAATTCCAAACTGCTCAGCCAACACCTTCCAAAAATGCTTCCACTTAAACACATCTCCATTGTTCACATTAAACGCTTCGTTTTTCGCATACGGATCCACGGCCGCCCATATATGCTTCTCCGCTATCAAATTCCCATCCGCAGCCACCGAATAACATTCCCAAGCTGCTTTGCTTCCGGGAAACTTCAAAGATCTTCCTTCCTTCTTACATATAGCAGCATAAACGCAAAGCGCATCAATTATGTTCATCAAGCTAGCTATCAGGAGAAAACCCAAAAATATTATTAGGCCGATGTACCGACCCAGTTAAACCCTTTTTTTTCTCAACCTCTTCAAACAATACGTCTGCAAGAGTAGTAAAAACCGGGCACGTCAAGCCTAGGCAAGTCCTCCGTAAACGGCGGGCCGTGGACTTTGACTTTCCCCCATAGACTCAAACGGTCCCAGGTAGATAGTCTTTGGTCCCGGTCTGTAAGGACACATGGCAGAGGTTCGGAGCCACTGGATCATGGCACGCAAGACGTTGCGGAACATGGCCCCGTTGACCTCGCAGTTCTCTATAAATAAATATATAAACATGCTTAAAAGAATGAATTTTTTTTTTTTCTTATTGAAAACTTTCTTATGCATTCAAAAGAACTTGGAAAAACCAATGTCTCAAAATCCAAAAAGATTCCTTCTTTTTTCCCTCAAACTATGGAAAATGATCAGCATGCAGCGGTATTTGCAAAGAAACAACGGACTGTCTAGAGCTTTACCGATGTTAATTCTCAAGTGTTCAATTATTTGTATTTAATTACTACTTCTTTCTTTCACATTCTGAAATCTAAGTATGAACTTTTGAAAAAAATCAAAACCTTGCTCTGTGTCAACTAATGAAGGGTCTGAATTGTAAAAAAAAAATCGATTTCAAATCCTCCTTCAGCGACCTAATGACGTATAAATCATCAATCCCAAAAGAACCCACGTTTCAAAAACCAAGAAGGGCTCATTAATGTATATGAATGTATATAGTAACAGAGTAAATTACTTCGATGTGAATCTACAATCCCTGATACCAAAGCTCCAAATTCAAATGGTTAAGCCTGAAATTGCTACCCGTCCATCAAAGAAACTTCATGCTCTTCAGAAAGACACATCTAAAGTGGCCAAGAAAGTGAATTTAGGTTGCTAAACACCATAATTACGTTGGGGAAACTCTAATTCCTTCACTGCAACAAACCCCAAAACCCCCAATTACGTTGATTAGTTATACATTAAGAAAGTGGGGGAATGAATAATGTTATTTATTCTTCTATTTGTCATTTTGGGTCGGTGGTACTTCTTCAGACAATTGGGCTACTCATCTCCCAACGTAATCTGATACTCATTTTTTTTTTAAAGAGGAATAATTGATGTTAAGTCACGGTTATCCACCTCTTTTGGAGCCCGGAAAGACTCACACATGCATTTCAGCCTCCTTTGGCCACGAGTCATTATCGTAAGATGTTTGTGACAAGGTGGGGTTGGGTGTGAGGGTGCGTGGGGTGTTTATTGGCCGTTGGATCTAAACCAACAGACAAGATGAAAAATTAGCTTCCACATTGTAAAAAAAAAAAAAGGGTTTAAATGTTAAAATGGTCCATGTGTTTTAGTCATTCGGTCATTTTAGTTCATATGTTTTCAATTTGGCCAAATTGGTTGTTGTGTTTATAAATTATGATAAACTTATTTATAAAATTATGATTTATTTGATTTAAATTATTTAAAATGAACTAAAATTAAAAATAAAATGAAAAATTATTCTTCTCTCAACGCTCTGATCCCCTCCCTGACATTACCCTCCTCTCTTGTCTATGTCACAACCTTAATCATTATTTAGATTGCAAGTTTTATTTTTTACATGTGTAATTTCTCATTGATTTGCATTTTTTTGTAAAGAAAAAAGATAATTATTTCTCATATGATTATTCTTATGAATTTTTATAAAAGAGATTGAAAGAAATGTTCTTAATTAGCTAACAAAGACAAACACGAGGACTAAATTAACTAAATCGAAAACATGGAATTAGAATAGCTATATTGCTATAACACAGACCATTTTGAAATTTCAGCCAAAAAAAAAAAGGTCAAGGGCTGCTAAATGGTGGCGGCGGCGGCTGTTCGGTCCCAATCTTGGCCCGACACTCCACTCCTTTTGATCTGACCCCAGTTTATCACTCCTTTTGATCTGACCCCAGTTTATCAATTTCTCTCGGCTGTTGGCCACGTTTTGGTTGATGGCGGATTTAAGTGTTTTCTTTTAGGGTTTGATTTATGATGTGTGTTCGACGTTTTAAGTTAATTTTGGTGGTTGATTTTTTAAGTTATGCAACCTTGTGAATTGTTGGTTGAATTGGGCGTTTTATTTGAATAGGCTTCTGCAAATTGTGTGCTTTAGAAGATGAACACGTGAAGAGAGAAGAAAGATGAGGAAGATAGCCAAAGAGAAGGTGAGCAAATTTATTTTTTATTTTATTGATTTGATCACAAGGCATCACTAAAGAAAAAATTATGTTGGTTTTTTTTTCCCTTAAAAAAAAAAGAAGGAAAACGAGTGACAAGCTACGGTTATCAACTCATATTGAGGGTCGGAAAGACTTATAAAGGCAAATCAGCCTCCCCAGGTCACAAGTATGGCTTCGACACCAGCAGCAAGTTTCAAACCTGAGACAAGCACACATTTTTTGTAGTGGTTGAAGGAAACCTCGCAGTTTGTCTTTTACTACTAGATCACCAGCTCGCAACTGAGAAAATTATGTTGTTGGGTTAACCAAAAAAGTTGTTGGTAGATTAAATAGAAGCATTAGCAGAAATTAAATTATAAGTATTTCAAAACATTAAATACACAAGTTAAAGTAATAATGGAATACACGTGGCAGAAAATGAATGAAAAAAGCAAGAAAAAGTAGGAGGAGAAGGTAGCTATCGTTCCTCGTTAATCTAACGACACTAAGAACCCACATCGCACTTTATTCTGAAATAAGAGTTTAGATGGCTGAGTGACAATTGTTGAATCACTTCAACTATAAACCCTTATTTATAAATAAATTAAGAAAGCTCTAAACTATGGTGTATTCTAACCATCACCTTCAAAACTTGACATCTTTCCACTAACACTAGCATATGCCCGATACTTTGTGTTTGAAAATAATTTTTATTTTTATTTTAAAATGAGAAGGAGAAAGGGGGAAAAATGTGGATTAGAGAAAGGAGTTTTCTTTTTATGTTTTATTTTTCAAAATTAAGAGATGTTAGGATCACTCTTGGAGAGACTTTAAAAAAACCGTAAAATTTAGTATATGTGAATTTATATTATTGTCTATGATTTTGTTTTGTGATAAAAGATAAAATTATCTTTCTACTTTCTTTTAGTTGACAAAAATAATTTTATTAATATGTAGTTTAGATAACCATAGTTAAACTGGAACACTTCCCAACTAATAAAATTCTGAGTAACAATTATCTACGGTTTAGAGTGGGACGAAATAACGTACCCAAAAATAACAAGTATCTCTTTGAATTTATAATACAAGCTATACAAGCTCTTCATGGCACAATCTTGTAAGCTTTCATCTTCTCAATCCAAGAAACAAACGACTTGTACGAATTCCTAAACCCTAAAAACCCATGCTCCTTGCTCTTATTCATGCTATCCAACACCGCCTCCCCACCCAACACATAGTCGGCAAACCACCACACCCCCACCTCCTCCAGCTTCGTCGGCTGCAGCTCATTCTCCCTCACTATCTCCTCCCACACCCCCTCCTTTCCCTTCATTTCCTCCACCAAGCTCCGCCGCTCTCCCTCCTCGTCAAACCCGTACTCCTCAATCCCAAACTGCTCCGCCAAACCCTTCCAAAACTGCTTCCACTTAAACACATCCCCATTGTTGATATTAAACGCCTCGTTTTGGGCATTCGGGTCCACCGCCGCCCATATATGCTGCTCCGCTATTAAATCTGCATCCGAGGCCATCGCGTAACACTCCCACGCCGCCTTTGTTCCCGGGAATTTCAACGGCCGACCTTCTTTTTTACAAATCGCCGCGTAAACGCAAAGCGTCCCGATTATGTTCATCAAGCTGTGAGGAGAAAACCCGAAAATGTTGTACGGACGGTGGACCGACCACGTCAGGCCCGGTTTTTTCTCGACCTCCTCGAACAATATGTCCTCCAGCGTGTAGTAAAAATTGGGCACGTCGAGCCGCGGCAGATCCTCCGTGAAAGGCGGGTCGTGGGCCGGGATCTTGCCGATGCACTCAAACGGTCCGATGTAGTGTTTGGTCCCCGTTTGGAGGCTGATGTGGCGAAGATTGGGAGCCGCTGGGATAACGACACTGAGGACGTTGCGGAACATGGCGCCGTTTGCCTCGCAGTTTTCGAGTTCGGTGGCTCTGCTAGTCCACGTCACGTAGAAGATGTGGGTGACGTCAGTTAGTCCGGAGAGCTTTGTCTGGACGTCTTCGGGGTCGGAGATGTCGCACTGGATGTAGTCGACGGGGTGGTCGGCGCTCCAATTGGGGCGCGGGCGGCGCGCGACGCCGTAGACCTTCCATGGACCGCCGGGGGTGTCGTGGAGCGGGAGGATCTCGGCTAGGCTGTTGCCCACTATGCCCGTGACGCCGATTACTAGCCCCACGCTTTGGGGTTCTGTCGTGTCGGCTGGTTCCGACTTCTTCTGAGCAATTCACGTTAATTAATCAATTAAATAAGATAATCAGTGAGATGAGCAAACATATTAAAGTAGTTAATAAACCGATTTAATGAGATTAGTGGTGTTATTCTTACCTTAGTAGCAGCAACAGCTCCAGACCACCACCAGCTCATATTTTGGGTTCAAAACTTCAAATCGAAAGTCTGTAGCAGCCAAGCCGATTGTGGAAATTCCAGAGTCGTCGGATTTTTCTTCTTCTTTCTAGCTACTTCCTTTATTTTATTTTCTTATATATAAAGGAGGACAAGGATATGTCTTGACATATGACGTAAGCTATGAGCTCTTCTCGATAAATATCTCAAATTCATGTGGTAGTCGGTGCAGTGAAGAAAAGAGCGAAATTATGTTAGTCGGTGTGTTTGCGTGCCAAAATCCTTGAATGCTAGTGATATTCTGTACGAAAATGCTTCGCGAGTTTGAAGTCAGATGGCAGGAAATAAACTGTGGGCCTTATCCTACTGGGCTTGAAGCCCAACTAATCAAGCAAACTACTACACCTTCAATCTATGCACTAGGCCCACATTTCTATTGCGACCTAAGGGTCAGTTTCAGTGCCTAGGTTAAAATGTTCATGTGCTATGTGTAGTAGCTCATCGGTTGATTGTGTTGAGAGTGTTAATCTTATTTTGAAGAAAGAATAGACTTTACATGTGCTTATTAATAATGGAATCATTGTGTATTTTCAATTGGTTTTATGATAAAACATCAACTTTCTTTGAATTGAATGTTGGAATCAAGTGATGGGTAGTTAAAATTTTAGTATGACGCGCACATAGCTACATGTTAATTGAATATCAATTGTGACATTGTGTGTGTGTGTGTGTGTGTGTGTGTTAATTAACCTGGGTTCGAATGAATTAAAAGTCGGAAGTGTTTAGCTTGCCTACCAGAAAAAGTAAATAGGGTGGATCCAAATTGTAAATAGTAGAGATCTTGTCTATATTTTCTTTGCATGGTGTGGGTAAAGTAGAGATCTTTTTCTTTCTACCTATTCATAAACAAGATTTCTAAATTTAAACTCAACGTGCGATTTAACTGCTTCACCTAGGTGATTGTATTTTGTAATATTTGGAGTCATTTAGCTTATATATAAGTATATAACACATGGAATTCGAACACTAACCTCCGGTTTAAGAATAAATGCTTACGCCACGTACAAAGTTCTCAATACAAACATTGGAAATGACCTTATGTTTTGTTTGAATTAGGGATTATCAAGTATCTTATGATTTAGTTTATTAGAATTTTTTATTTTTCTTAAAAAGGGAGACAACTAGACTCACAGAGGCATTTCAGCCTCCCCCTAGCTACAAATCTGGCTTCCACACCAGAAGCAGGTTTCGAACCCAAGACCTCCAGTTTTTAATTTGAAGGAAGCCTCACAATCCGCCATTTACCACTGGGTCACCAGCTCGTGGTTAGTTTACTAGAAAATTAGATAGAGAAATTTGAAATGATCAAAAGGCAATCCATTGAGAGAGATTTGCAAATCAGTATTTAAAATAAATCATTTGAAAATTCCTTATTTAGTGACTTTGTTATACGCAAGTCATGTATTATCAATCTGTCTCTCTACTGTCTTATAGTGTATTTCTAATTAATTTAGCCTAAATCCTTGATATCCCAACACACCATTGTGATAAACACATGGATTCAAGATGATAAAGTTGAGTAAGTTGATCAGAAGACAAGGCACTAAAGATAGAATTAGGTACACCTTTTTACCTTTTCATTTCGTCCATCTCCTCATTGGAAAATTTTGTTTAATCGATATGCCTAAGTGGTCCTCTCCACCTTCGCCATATATTCTAACAGTACATACATATAAATGCAGTTCAGTACTATTCTCTGGATTAACTACCTGACACAAAGTATGTTTTAATTAGATCATCAAATTAGAAATTTTGTTGCACTTAACTAGCTCTCTAAATTCTAATTGACCAAGAAAACGCTTAACCTAAAGATAATACTAAGCTGATCGTGAAGAATAAATTAACGTATGCAGTAGTATATAGCTTTAAAAAGGACACAGTTTCAACTGCATAAACCCTAAATTCAACTAGAACATATCGTTAAATCTTGTGGTTATAAGTATGCATCACTACTGATTTCCAATGACCCATCACGAAAACTTACACTGATCAAGCCACGACCAAAGCTTACATCTTTTTCGTCCTTTCCATCTTTTTCATCCTTTCCATCTTTCTCCTACTCTCTTCCTTTGGTTGAATTAAATGTTCTTCTAAAATGGTGGACAGACCTGAAAAAGATACAGCACAAAGGTGACTGATACTTCGACTAGATAAACCCTAAAAAGTTGCAAAGACGTACACACACCGCACGTTAGAAAAATGAAACAATTGTAGTAACCTAATATTTGAATTTCAAACATTTACAAGTGATCTTACATGACATAAGTATAACGTCACTGTGTCGCTTTGTGCTAATGTTATAACATACATAACATTGTATTATTGGCACAAGACGCAACGATGATTATATACGTTATCTCATTCTTGCATTGGAAATTTCGAGTGCCAAATTTAATTTCACTTACCTTTCTTCTCCATCATAATTCTCCTCATTTCATCATGGTAACCTTGCTTGTCGTTGCCACTCTCGTATAAGTTAACCCTACCTTCCGACACTTGTACTTCTTTCATCGCTTGAAAGTCTTGATCATCACTTGTTACCACTTTTGACCTGGCAGTGGCGAAGAGCCAAGTGGCGTCCATCTGTTTGCTGATCATACGTGCGGCATAGTACGGAATCTTCACCCGTTTTCTGCTCCCAGACTTGATGCAGCCATTGATGAACATCAAACAGTCCATCATGCTTTCCTTGGCCAATCCTTTCATGTCATAAGCCCGTGATCTTCTCCAAAGACTTTTTCTGTGAGAATTCACCGGACTCGACAAGCAGAGAGCTCTTGTCGAGTCTCTAATGGCGGCATCTGCTTTTCCAATAAGCAACTGACACTGAGCTCTATTGCTATAAAGCACCATTCTATCTTTTCTCAACCCTAATGGGCACATTTCTAATGCTTCAGAATACTTAATTATAGCTCCCTCTATTTCTCCCATACAAACCATATGATTTGCTTCTTGTTTCATTAAATCCACCAAAACCCTACTTTCCTCAATTTGTTCTTGAGACAAGACTCTCTCCTTCCTTCTCCTCTCTACCTTCAAATTCCAAACCTCTTCCAAACATTTTTCAATTCTTCTGTTCTGGTTCAACTTGTTTAGAAGAAGTGCTTTTGTGATTGCTTCACCTACGTTTGATCTATCTCCAAGGCTTTTGAGTTCAACCAAATCGATAAGAAATGAGGCTGCCATATTAATAACTTTGTACCTCGTATTCGGGTCTTTGAGAAGCAACAAGAGGCAGTCGATCCCCCTGTACTGCCAATCATCTGAAGACCTTGAGAGATTACACAGGCTCTCAATAATTTCCCTTGATTCAGCAATTTTTTTCCTTCCATATTTACCATAGCACAAAATCCTAACAAGTCCAACGCCAGCTGGTGAAGAGTGATTGACTAATCCACCCCACATTCCACACAATTGTTTCAAAAAATCCCCATTGCAAATGAGATTCAAAGACCTCTCTTTGCAAGCAAAACAATTTAAGATGTAGAGAGACCAACACTGAAGCTGACTAGCCCATTCTTCTGCCTTGCGGTTCTCCATTTCAACTCCCCCAACACCTCTTGTGAGCAAATCACAATGGTATTTCTGTCTTTTTCTCTCATCTTTCACCCCCACAAAACTAACATATACCGCATCAAGACATGTAGAAGCTAATTTCATGGCTAATCTCACCACCTCTTCTTCATACTCCGCCACGGCTTCAAATGTACTCTCGTAGCTTGCAAGGTGACCTAGCGCTCGAACCGCAACTCTTTGCTCGACCCAACTCATCTTCCCTCTGAGAAGCTCCAAAAGCGGTGGAATCACGCCTGATGCCACTGCCTTTTCAGCGAACTCAACCTTGTTCATGGTGTAAGAACCAATGACATGAGCTGCATAGTAAGGGATGTAGATGTTTTGGTCCCTCTGAAGCCAAGTATTACTCTTGTTGTTGATGCCTTTGTGGATAAACCGTACCATGCACTCAAAGATTCCAAGGGATGGGAACTCTGGGTCTTCAGGGTGAGCCATAGCAACATTCCATAGGCTGCTCAGCACTAGGACATTTCCTTGGTCTTCCCTGTGAGGTAGTTCCTTGAAACAGGCTGATATTCCAGCTCTCCTCTTGAAGGAGTTTGGCTCTTTCATGGTACAAAAGAAGCAAAACTGTCGAGTGCAAGCCTGCTCTTTTGTAATATTGGTGAGCAGGGTTTTCTTCTCCTTCTTCTTCAGGGAATCCATGACTGAGGGCAAAGGTTGAGAATTTAGGGTTTTGGTTTTGTGGAGAGCAATAAGGGGAATTGAAGGGAAAAGGTCAAAATTGATCAAGTGGGCAGAGTGGCCAGGTGTTTGTAGCTTAGTGACATTAATGGCGCATGTATTGTAATCTTTGTACTTTTGAATTATTTGTGCCTTTATTTTCGAGAAAGGTTAGTCTCCCCACATAAAGGTTGTCATAAACAAAACTTTTCTTTCAGGGATGTATATACTCGTGTGTCTATCTCTTTATATATATATATCATACATTAAGATCGCGCATTTAACCATTTATTACTCTGATTATGCTATATATATACTAGAGTATAATAAATTTTTGACTCATTATGTAGTTACTGGATCATGTAATGAGAGAGATGGTGCGCGCATCCGTGATTGGCATGGAAGTTTCTCTTCAGTTTCTAGCTAGCTCATATAAAGGATCTGATTTCTAAGGTGGGTTTGTATTTTGTGCAATTCTTTTAATTACATTAGGCGTTTGTTCATATAATTTGTAATATTATTGGATTCAATTTGTGTTGTGGAGTGGTGTTGGGTTTTTACAAATTGCTGGCCTTGTGACAGCCACATAGGTAACAAATAAAGAAGCATGTGGAATTGTCATCTGACATTGCAAAGCAAAGTGGTCCTCATTTCGAAGGGAAGGCCTTTCAGTTATTCTTCGAATCAGGTCTCTACTTTCTTCATTAATCTGCATTATTTTTCCTGTAAAATACTAATTTGTCTTAATACAGCTAATTAAGGATCGCGTAAGCAAGATATATCATAGATCCTCAAAATCCACCAAGTGTAATTCCAACCAATAAGCACTTATTAGAACACAAACTTTCTGCTTTCAATGGACATTTGACATCATGTTGTCTGGAACCTTGATTTTCGTTTTAAGTTCCCTTGTCAACAGGTCTAATGCCACTCTACTATTAATCTTCTTCAAAAGCTACTCTAAAAAACAAAATCTAGGTCTTTCTATTCTACTTATAATAATGCAGCAAAATGTATTGTGATTACAGATGGGTTTGTTGCAAAAGGGAGTTGAGGGACCACAACCTGAAGACTTGGTATCAGTTTCCGATTTGCATGGCAAAGATACACTACCATCGTGACATCTCGTGTCATGTAAGTTGCTCTACTTCAATCGGTTGTAACAAAAGGTGGTTCTTGTGGTCCTCCTCAACTTAACCTCATTCAAACAAATATTAAACCCATAACTAGCAAAACTTTTAGAAAACAGAATTAGTAATTTAGTACAACTGGGTGGAAGTCTCAAGAATATGCGGCTGTTACATACACAGACTATATATAGATTGGAAAACAAGAGGACATGAAAAGAGGCGATTTATTAGAGTTTAATCTTATCTAGAAATGGTAAATAGGGTTTAAACAATACACTTCGAAGACTCGTGGGAGTAACATGACTCTCTGGTGATTGGTAACCAAGTGTTGCGATGTGCAGAGATGTTTCTGGTGTTTAGTTTATTGTTTGTTCGTAGGATTGGCGTGGAGAATAGCTACATCGGTTTCTAAAGCTCATGATGATTAGAACTAATGCTTTTGTTTTCAATATCCAAAAGATGATTGGAATGCAATGGTGTAGTAGTAACCAGCAACTTCAAATCTGAGTTGCACACCTTTTTTTTTATTTTTTTGTTATAAGTGATAATTCTGTAAAATTTGTGTCCTAGTTTATTCCAGTTGGTCTTCCATGTCTTCCCCAAATTGCTATTCCTTCATTGAGTTTAATGTTTTGCACGCAAGTTATGAGGAACTAAGACTTTCAAGCAAATTATATGGTCCATCAAAGTTTTGTACGCATATGTATCGCATAAACTTTTATTTGTTCAAGGAGGTCTCAGTTCTTGCAAAAGAAAACGAGAATACAACATTATGCAATCAACACCCAAAAAAATTGTTTGTGGGATATTGGAGGAAACTAATTTTATTTTGCAAAATCAATACACTAATCACACCTTAATTCTCTTGACACGGTTCTTAGTAGAGATATTAAAAAATGAACAACTTCAAATCTTCTACAAACAAAATCCCTATATCCTCAACCACTCGTCCTGTCCCACGCCCTCCGCAACCCAGCCCAATGGCAGCTGACTCCTCAACCATTCCTCCTTGTTTGCTTCCGCATAATCACTCGAAATGAGACCCCAACCGAGTCCGAGTACAAGCTAGCGAACTTCAAGGTCAACAGCCAAAGCTCTTTGCAATCGCCCAAGTTGGTTGATATAGTAACTCGCTTTTTGAAACTTCCCTAGTGTTAGAAATTCATAGTTCTCTCAAAAAACATGCAAAGATATCAAAAAAATTTGAAAATTTTAAGCAAATACATCACTTCATATTCAATTTTTGAAAAAATATTTTTGGAACATTTTTAGAGGCATCGAATACACATGACTCGTCGATGAATTCCCGAAGACAACTTGCACTCGAAGGATGATGGTGTTCTTCTATTTTTAATATTTTTAGTTTCGTTCTTTTATTTTAATTTATTAGAACTAAGCTATGTTAAGGGTTAGTGAATGTACACGTAAAATATGAGATAAGTCAGACATATGACACATGCATTTCAGTTGCATATGAATTTAATTTATAAGGTTGTATAGTTATGGATCATTTAAATTAACATCTAATTGAATAAACGACTTAACAAATGTAAACATACGACGGCATGTGTGTATGTATACAAAAACTTTCCGTAAACAATCAAGAACAGTTTGATTCATTTTTTATTCTTGTTTCTAAATTGTTTTGATTGAAATCTTAAAAAAAAAAAAATCAAGTACATTTTCCTTGCACGTGAATACGATTTCAGGCTCTCCCTCTTTTTCGTAAATTAATATAGAGTATTGCTTTAGCTCTCATCCGGTGATCCTTTTGTCTTTATTTTTAAGTCGTGCATGAGATTCAAGTCTGTGGACTCTACTACCAATACTTAAGCAAGCTTTGATTCTTTGGGCCAAACTCCAAACCTTTAGGCCTTGATCAGATAAAAGCCTTACCAACTGAGGAAGAATGAAAGGGTGACTTCAACATTTGCATCTTTTTCTTTTCAGTTTTGATTTTTCGCAAATCTAACTGTAAAAAGGTACAATGCAGAACCTCCAAGTCAATCTGAAATTAAGTACAATTTTGCATCAAACCCTACAAAATACGAATTTTACATAAATAGTAACTGATCTTAAGAGGAATCCTAATCACTATTGGTTCTAAATGAGCTCCGTTACGCAGCTCAATCATCCACCAAAAGCCCGAGTCCCGACTCCACAATGATTTTTGACTCGAGCACAACAATTTTTCAGGCACCTGAGAAAATCTACAGACAACTCACTATGTACAAGTTTGAAACTACATCGATCCATCACAGAAGTCCTGCATGCAACTCGGCTCCCATCTTACCATGCCTACCTTTGATATAAGTCAGTCCATACAATTATTCTTTCAAACATCCATCTTCCACATAAGATTACTTGCATTGCCTCCATGAGACTTCTCGAATGATGCAACTTTCGCCCGATACGCAGCTGCTGCCGCAGCGTTATTTACAGTCTGACCCTGAGGGAGCTCACAGGCTTCGCTCATAGTAGCAAATCTTAGCTCAGCAGGAGGGATGAAACAGTCCATTGACAAGCCAGGGACATTGAATGCCACTTCCTCAACTGTCCAAGCTTCTTCCATCCTCGTCTTGGTGTGGCTCATTGCAGTTTCTCCAAACCTGAATAGGGTTACTACTGAACGTCCCGAGTGAGCGATCATAATCCCCTCAACGGGCTTGTAATCATCGAGGAATGAGTTTATTGTGGTCTCCCAGTAAACAGCATCACCTCCGTTGTTCTGAATGCGGGTCAAATGGGAATCTTCCAAGTGTACAAGGAGCCCTGTTTTCTGGCTGAAGTAGCCAAATAAAACATGCCTAATGATCTCCGCAGGCCCTTCGCTCCTGGCTTTCAGCGTCAAAGGATCTGCAGAAAGCTTGAGGATGAAACAATCCTCGCCATTTATCTTCTTTTCACCAATGCATCTTGAGCTGGTAAACATACTAGCAGTGGTTCGTGGGTCAAGCCCCTGTATTCAATAAATAAACACACTGATTAAATTATGCACGGCAAAGGCAAACTGAGCCAAACAAAGCAGGACTAGCATTTACCTGAAGTGCCCGTCGCAAGGGTCTGACAGGCCCTTTTGCAGCATGTGCACCAAGCCAAGGCGTGTGCCTCCACACAAGCTTTCCATTGCAACCAGCGTGAACCTTGCTGCCGCCAAGTGCAAGCTCCACATACCACATGTCCGGATGCATCTGCCACAGGACAAAACCGCCCGACTCTGCTGCTTTGGAGGAATTCTTGTTCCGTACAACCCTGTTGGCCGTTTCAAACTCCGAGGCGATCATTCTCACCTTTCCCATAGCATAAGCATTATGGATTGAGTTCTGAAGCTTCTGCCCTCCTGATGCTGCTGTATACTGCTGCAATATATACTGAGCAGATGAAGTCTCCTGCAAAACATATAAAAAAAAAATTGTGTTTAGAGGGTTTCTGTAAAAACCGAAACGAAGAAAAAGGTCCTGTCCAGTTCGTATAAAATGATGAAATGAAATTAAGCCCCACAGCCTTAGGTTTCACATCTGCAGATATACTTGGCATCAAATACACAGATTCAACATTCTAGTTCAGTTCATATAAAATGCAGTTGAAAACTGAGAACTGCACAATGAGATCACAATTTGATGAAAATTGTGAAGGGTATGTGGTAAAAAGGAAAAGGAAAAAGTTGCACAAAGTGTGCATGAACACGATCGCCATCAAACCGAAAGATTCTTAGCTATCCACGGTTGTATATCCCCTCGTGTCCTCGTCGCGTGACACAAGGGACATACAACCGGTTGCAACGCAAATTCTTCTTTCGTTTATGATAATGAGATCAGCATGCGTGAAATCAAGGGAACTTACGTTAATAAACATGTGGAGCAAATAATCAAAATGTCCTACCAACTTTTATATAAAAGAATCCGGCATGCATAGGAAACTACTTGATGAATCTCTTTTTTTTATTTTTATTTTTCAGGAAATTGAAAGATGAATAAACAAAAAAAGGAAAAAAAATCTACAAAAACATTAATTTTCACAAAAATGAACATAAACTAAACCAAATTTATAGCTTCCAAAGTTGTCAAATTTATACTAAAATTTAGAGCCTTTCAAGTTTTCAGCATTCAGAAAATCAATTTGATTGGATTTGGAGGAGTAATCAGCAAAAGTTACATGTCAAGGGAAGGACTTACAATGGGTGTGTCTTTGATGCTAAGGTGAGGCAGAGGCTCAGTGGTGCTAACGTGCACCGGGGCGAGCGGCGCACCCAGAACCCCAAGCAACAGCCGCAGATCCGACCTTTTGTAGGTTGAGCACGAAACCGAAGGCGTCCTGCACAGCTGCCCCTTCATCCAGTGGCCCCACTTCCCCTCCATCCTCGAATCTCCACCGTCCGTGCCATCCGGCCCTTCCTTCAGCGGCGACAGCGCCTCGGCGGGCCTCAAGTTCCCGGATCTCAGAATCATCAACGGCTCCGGCTGCGCCACGTGATGATTCCTCCGCCGCCTGAGCAGCCCCGACATTGGGGACCCACTCCTGGCCGGACTTTTCGCCCTCGACCTCCCCGGCGACAGCCCCCTCGTCACCTCCTCCTTCAAAGCCGAAAAAAAACCCTGCTTTCTCTCCATTTGACAGCTCTGCCCCTCACCCAAAATTCTGCAGAAGAAGTAGAAAAATGAGAGGTGTGGTTTGTGGGTTTTGCAGGGAAGAAGTGAGAAAGTGAGAAGAAAGAAGGGAGCTTTGGTGAAAGCAACTTCTGGGTTTTGATTTTTGGAGGAAATAAAAAGGGTGGTAATGATTAAACGAAGGAAAAATATTGCGCCGAGAGAGACAAGCAACAGCACACACTAGTGTATTACTACTACTGTGGGTGGGACTCTGGGAGCGAGCAGAGAGCTGTCTTTATCTGCATTCCCAGAATTTCCCTTCTTTGATTATGCCCTCCCTTTTTTTATTTTTCTTTTCTTTTTTGTGCCTGTCTACTAATTACTGGAGAATAGTTGTGTTTTCACTTTTGTACTTTTTTCTTTGTCTGGCGGGGGATTTCGCCAACCAGCAGGAAGGAGTGAAGAGAAGCGCGGTTGGGTAATGGCTTATTTGTCATTTTCCACTCCCCCATTTTCTTATTTGGTATCTTGTTTTTGAGAAAAACTTTTATACCTTAATGCAACACTGGAACGTTACTATAAGCCAATTACGTATTGATATATGTTAATTTATATAATTGTAACATTGTTATTGTAGAGAAAGTATTGAACAATTGGATCACGTGGTTATTTATCCATAAGCACAAAAATACCCATCCAACCTTGCCCGTAGGAGACTGGTGCCACTATTCGGCCAGATAGCTATGTGGTCTGATTGTTCAAACCAAATAATTTATTTCCGGAATGCAACATTAGCAATATTCTCATAACTTTCAATATCATAAGTGCTATTGACTTAAAACACTGTCATCGTAAAATTTTCGACACATAAAATTTGTCCTTCTTATTATAAGGTTTCATAGGACCATAGCATGAGCCGCTGAAGCGTGCAGGGCTACTACAATACGACGACGACGCCCTGACAAATTAAAAAGTTTTCTGGTTATGGAAAACTGGAAATTTTGGGGGCAAAATCTTTCTCGTGACCAATATGATATGGCAGAGGCCGTGAGGATCTGTGACTCTGTGGGGGTTGGCGCCGTTTATCAACGGTCAAACGGCAAGTAATGTAATCTCCGATCTTTAGTTGTTGGATTGTTGCTTTATTGGCTGCTTCTTGTTGTTTGGTAAATTTAAAAACATGAAAACATGATATGTTTTTTGGATTTAAAAAGTTAAAAAAAAAAGAGATCATGTTGCATGTCTTAATGAGTGTGAATCGATGGCTTCTCCTATTTTATTATCAGCGTGCAAAGCTTCCTAAGCATGCTCTAAAGAACAAAATCTATATTTCTTTCAATCACGTAATATAATTAGCAGAGCGTCCAAACACTAAATCATTCTCAACTCAAAAAAGATATATAAACAGGACAAATTTATGCACTCATGGAAAGAATTGTGTACCTTGTTTTTGACTTGGGAACCGAGCTTTTTACGTTTGAATAATGCCTCCTGTTAGAGCACCAAACTTTCAACGACCTTGATGAAAAATAACCTGCAAAACAAGTAAATTTGGGGGGTGGTGTTGGCTACGGTTGGTCCTCCTGCGTTCAAATTGGTAAGGCTTAAACTCAAAGCAATATGTTAGAATTCCGTACCTTATCCAGTTTGCGATTAATGTTTTTTATATATAGTTTCTATAGCTTCCTTGTTGGATGAGGAGGTCGTGTTATTGTAAACTTCCCTAGTTTGTAATTCCAAAAGTGAGAGGGAAGAGTGATAGAAGGAAAATGTTGCTTATTTGTGACCAAATAGTTACAGATTCAAGTCGCGAAAACAACATCTTAGTAAGGTAAGAGAAATACTGTGTACGATAAATGTTCTGGTTCCAACCCTTGCAAAGTGGAGAGATTTGTAGACTTGGAGTCGCCCCTTTGTTGCTATCCTTCCAATATATGACAACATGTGATATTTTCATTAATTTGCAACCTAATTGTCACGATTCAAAACAAAATCATTTGTTTTATAATTTGCAAGCCTCAGCCTAAAGGATCGGCATGGACCTAGCCACCTAACATGGAGCCGGACCTGAGCAGGGTGACAAAGACAATTCCTTGATGGGTGTTAGATGGGTAGAGACCCCGAAAGGAAGCGTTGGTTGTTGAATTCGTGGGGACGTTTTTAATAGATTTTCTTGGCATGTGATGTGTAGATTGACATTATTAATTGATACTGCTACTGCTAGATGCCACGACAAAAATCTTCCTGCGTGAGAGAGTTTGTTTTTCACCTGCAATTATATGTCTTGACCAAAAACTTTGGCAAACTTCTTAGGGTTCCAAAGGGAATTAGGAGGATGAGCTAACTATAGACTTTTGCAAAATTGAAACATTAGATCAAATTACTTTTATACAAGTTATACGGAAGAGGAGAATCCGAACTCGATACCTTGTGTCGTGCATAAAAATGAATATTTTGTAACAACTAAGTTTCAAGTTTCTAACATTGTTATAATGATTAAATATCTTATTTATCAACAAAAGAAACTCAAGTTTAAGATATTCCTCGTTGTTGAAGACACCCTCCAAGAGCGGAAGTTTTCATGACATTTCTTATTGTTTTGATGATTGGCAAAAAAAAATATAATTAAACTAATAACTAATTTAGTATTATGATGTATAAACCAAATTTAACATCAATTAAAAGGACAAGAAATGTGGGATCTTGTTGCTTATTCAAATTTATTTTCGTAGCTCCAACTCACGTATGGTGGTCAACTTCATCTCGTATCATATTGGTCAATTTATTTCCCATATTTTATATTCATTGATGGAGACAATAACCGAAAATAAAATAAAGTGTCCCCCACCCCACTTACACACTTGCACTTCCTTAGTCTGAAAGGCGAAAAAGCACCAGCTACGCTAATCACGGAAATAAGTTAGGTTTCCATATTTCTTGTTCGAGAGAAAAGTAATGGGCCCTCTCGGTCTTGCAGTCTTGGTCGGCCCATAAATGAGAAGAGTCGGGCCTAAAAAAGTTCATTTCAAAACAGGCTGTGGCTTGCCAAGGCCCAAAGTTAAAGGCATCCAAGTCACTTGTTTTTGCAAAATATTACCGATTTGAATTTGGGACACCATCCAATAATGTAAACAGAAGTACTGTTAGACCAGAGCGAGATGGTTACATTTCAATTTTCCCATAGTAAACTAATTATGCATGTTGAAGACCGCCCCCATGCAACCATTAATGATGTTCTTATGCATCAATTGCCATAATATCATGGTTTTAAATGGCAATGATGACAGCTTTTCAACAATATTCAGAACACGAGCACATACATCATATGTCATTATATTAGTGAAGGGACATTTGAAAAAAAAAATAATCTTCTTTTCACTTGTATTTAAGTACCGTTCCGTATTTCAGACACATTGAAAAATCTCTCCTATGAGTGCCCCATTTTTTAACATCAAACCGAACTTTGATATGAAGAGCAACTTATAGAGAATGAGTTTGTTGCTATGTGGCTTTCCGGTTTAGTAAATCATTGTCATGGAGAGAAAAACTTGAACATAACAATGCAATGTTGAACAAAAAACACTATGTGGTGAATCCATTAAGTATAAATTATTCTAGTTGATATGGGTTGAGGACGACCCATTTACTTAGGACGTACAATTTGGCACGTACATTTTCGGACCACCAGAGATTTTGTGGTTTTTGGTGGTCATTCATTTCGCATGGAAGTGAGGCAACTATCAAAGACAACAACATTTCACAATCAATTAATACTTTCGTTGTCCATGGTTTAGGCGGTGGTTCCCTATCCTTCGTTCATTGTATCTCAACATATTAATCCAGTATCTTATCATTATTTAATGTACATTGTAAACGTGTTAAGTTCTTAGTTTGATTGACTTGAAAAGACACGTTAAGAGTTATCTCGCATCAAAAGAGAAAACTTCGCTTAAATTATTTAAACGAGCTTGGAATTGAACTCCAATTTACGTATTAAAAAAAAAACAATATTGAACCCAATTTGAGGCTCTTTTTAAGGACTTAAAAATGTAGAGTTCGAGACGATTGTCCATCTAATTGTGATCTCGTTAATTATTAACGATATGCATAACTTGTTGGGCCCGAAGCTAATATTCTCATGGGCTCCAGCTCCGCTGGATGCCAGTAGGCAAGAATCCCGGTCAGGCCTTTGCCTGCTTCGGACCTTCCTCGATATTTTGACAACGATTTCTGTCGTCTTAAGGGCATGGACAACACAGCCCACACGCATTCGAAATTTAAACCGTGTTGGTGAGGAAACTGCCATTAAAACATCTCTACTTACAAGCTACAACGTACCTTTAATCGATGGATATTACATCATCTCACATTTGTGTCTTGTGATTCAAACTCCTATTAAGTACATGAGCAATACCAATGAAGCCTAACCAAAAAAGCTTCTTTGCTTCTTTCCAAGGAGCAGATCTTACGTCTGATAGATCATATAAAACAATCAAAGACAATCGTGTGAGACCAGCTCGTAATAGTCTGAACAAAATACAACATTTTAGTTTGTGTTGGTCAGGGATTGCCCTTGGTAACTTACTTGTCCACCGTGCATGAGATTTTATTATAAAATGACGATACAATAAAAAATGAAACCGCTTTACATAAGTTATATTTTGTTATGTGCAACTTCTAATCAACATAAGTTTTAGGGAAAATTTTTAAAATGTTATATGAACTTGTACATATTTTCCAATTTGTCATATAAACTAAAATGTTAAGCAATTTGTCACACCAACTTTATAAAATCATCAATTTGTCATCTCACTCTAACTCCGTTAAGTTTTCCATCCAAAATAAGTCATGTGCAAGGCACATGACTTCTGTTCAAGATTATTTCCGTCATTTAAGATTTTTTACAAGTTCTTTACTTTTCTTTAATAAAACTCTTAAATTTTGTGTTCGAGGGTATTCATCCAGATCGTTGTGTTCGAGCAACGTATATGCATCTACAAATCCATTTTCTGGCACCAAACCTTAACTCGTTTCTTATATTATAGAGCCCATATAAAATTTGATTTCATAACATGCTAAACCGAACACCCTAAAAATAATTGATCAAATGCAACTTAATAGAAGGAAGTGGGGTGTTAAAATGACAGAAATAATTTTGAACACAAGTAATGTGCTAGGCACATGACTTATTTTTAATGGAAAACTTAACGGATGTAGGGTGAGATGACAAATTGATGATTTCAAAAAATTAGTATGACAAATTGCTTAAAATTTTAATTTATATGACAAATTAAAAAATAGATACAAACATTTCAAAAAAATTTCCTAAATTTTGTCGTAAGCCCACAAAAGTCAGCATCATGCCAGCTAAATGATGCAACATGGAAGCTTGGAGATTCTTTATTGACATTGACTTAAAATTTAATGGATTAGAATTTTTGTTGAAATTAAGGAAGATAAACCAAAATATGGTTTGCAATGTACTTGACTTGGTGTTTGGTGATGGGCAATGTTGGAACGACATGTCACGAGAGAAAGCACGTTAAAAGTAAAAATGGCAAATGACGGGACCGACCATCCTCCTTTGGTGGTAGTGGGCATTATACACATTCACTAAAAGGCTAAAGTTTTGGCTCTGTGTTTTATTTCAACTTTAGACTTGGAGATCTACGGTGTTCTAATTCTAAATCCATCTAGAATTTCTTAGTTGTCAACAAAGTGGTTGGTTTACAGTTTAGGCAACTTAGGTATTATGTGTTCGTATCAGTAAGTGTAAAAAAAGACGCCCACAAGTTCATGAGTAATCGTCCACTAATACAAAATGCATTAATATCTGATGGTCACTTACACATATTTGATCATACAACTTAGTGCATATGTAAACCACTCTTTGCCCTTTGCCTACAACCTTCTTTGTTATTTAGGGACTATCGTTAACTTTTTGCAAAAAAGTTTTTTGTTTCTAAGATACAAAAACGGGTGAAAAATGTGTTTGGTAGATTGTGAAAATATATTAAAAAACAATGTTTAGCTTGAGTTTTGTAGAATATCCGATCGATGTTTTCTCTGTTTTTAAAAACAGATTCAAAATAATAGAAAATAAAAGATACATTATAAAACAAAGTTAAGAGTTCTAATAAAAAATAAAATCATATATGACATGATTTTATCACTAATGTTGTCGCCACCACCATCACATTCTTCATTGTCTCATCATCACTGCTACCAAACATAAAGTTACACATATATATATATATATATATATTGATATTTGGTAATAGTAGTGTTTTCAATGTTTTTATTTTCTGAAATCATTCTCGAACTACAATATTAGACACATTTTCAAATCACATAAATACAAAATTCTATTTGTCGTTTTTTGTTTTACAGAATAGTTTTTCAATAATTATTTTGTAAAACGTTATTGGATATAGACCCTTTAGCCATCAGTCTATTTTAGTGAAAGATACAAAACGCGTTTTGTAGCTTGCATAATTATTTGGCACCTGAGTCCACTTTCGTGCCAATCTAATCAAATGCCATGTTGAAAGAGCCATGGGCAAATGTAAAAACATTTAACATTGACTTTTGGTCAACATTAAACTGACTAAATTCTTCGTTTTTGTTCTTTCCGGAGCTAGATGCACTCCTTTCCAGCTGCCTTCTCAATCCCCTTCTTCTTTTTATGAAAATTATAGTACACTCTAGAACATTGAGAATCCTTTTTACGAAATTCTTTTTTATCCATTATGATATCTGAGATTCAAAGTCCATAAAAGTAGTTTTTGAAGTTATTCATCGTCAATTATTTTAGTTCTTCTATGAGAAATTTCTGTTAAATTGAGAGTATTCAAATCAACCTCACACATGGTAGTTTCTTCAATTTAATGAAAAAATTTCACCAAAAGAATTGACCGTGAACAATCTCAATAACCACCTTAATAGATTCATTATCTAAAATTAATCTCCTATGTATTTTATTCTTACGTTGAAGCAATGATCTCCTCTGTAAATTTGCTTGTAAACAACTATTCTCTGATATTTAATTTAAACTGCATAAATATTATACATTCCTATCCTTTTTACCTACCCCTCCTACTATAAATACCCCTCATTTCTCACATCTAAAGCACCATACACTCACAAAAAGGTTTCCATTGCCCGCCAGATTTCTAATCTTTCCATCTTCAACCTCTCATCTTCTTCTTGGCAAAAATGAAGCCCGTCTTTGCAACCTTCATGCTTGTTTGCCTTGTCCTCAGCTCCTCTTTCTTTGAGGCATCAATGGCTGGTTCTCGTACGATCCTTACTTTTTTTTTCAACTAGCTACTCTTTTTGTGTAATTAATTAACCATGTTTCTCTAGAGTTCATAATATTCTTCTTTCATTTTTCTTTCCTCTCTTAATTTGTTTCTAAAACTAGGAATATATGGCAAATTTGAGTTAGGTTAATTAGTCAGGATAATGTGTTTGCTTTCTTACAGTCGAGTTAGAGTACTCTTCTATAGAGTAAAGTAGTTTAGAATGTAAATTCGTTGAAACTAATTATGTGATATATATATATATATGGTGTTCTAATTAACCTACCTATTTGCATGAATTTTGCAGCATTTTGTGACTCGAAGTGTGGGGTGAGATGTTCAAAAGCTGGATACAAGGAAAGGTGCTTGAAGTACTGTGGAATCTGTTGTGAGAAATGTCACTGCGTTCCATCGGGGACTTATGGGAACAAGGACGAGTGCCCTTGCTATAGGGACCTCAAAAACTCCAAGGGCAAGGACAAGTGCCCTTAATTGATTCATTTTCTTTTGTGGTCATTTGTGATGATGTTGGTATGCATTTGTGCCTGGGATCGGAGGTACCCTACAAAATATTAACGAAAGTCGATATTATTGTAACTTTTATATATTAATAAAGTGGAGGTTGTACCAATTTAAGGTGTATTTCATTCTTTTCAAAGATTAATGATATTTCAGTAATCATTTAGCAAGAATGTAACAACTCCGCCATTGTAAGCAAGCACTAATAACGTTCCTAACAAATTTTAACATTAAGCCAGTTAAAACCATTTATTTATGCATTCAAGATCTGAGTTCAAGTCTCTTGCTTTAGTAATATTGTTTTTTTGTACATAACGTTGAAATATTGTATAAAATTGATCACAACTCATATACGAAGGGATAACAACTTATATGAATGAATTTATTTTCACGAAATGTTTCAATTCTAAAATACAATGTATATGATAGTGTATTATTGAATTGGAACGACACAATGATGGTGAAACCTTCCATATTCATACAGAGGAGGGAGATGCGGGTGGATCTCTGGTGGAGGATGGAGAAGAGATTATACAATATTGGTTGACAAAGAAAAATATTTTGTAGGAGAGGTTGACAGATAACAATTTCACATGCATACATAGTACGTCTCATCTCTTCAGAGGCCATTTGTCATGCATAAGCCCCCCTCTCCGAAAGAGATCCTCTTCTACTAGAATCATCGGATTAAGTGATCCGGATTTTCAAATTTAATCTAACGGTTTACTTGTTTTGACATCTTTAAAACTGTGATAATTTTTTACCATTAAATGAAATTTAGAAGGTCCGAATCATTTGATCAGATGATCTTAGTGGAAGAGATCAGGAGAAAATCTCTCTCCCCCATCCCCTACTCCAAGAGACCCAGTTGACACTTCGATTGGTATTCTGCCACGTCATATGTACTTGCAAGGCCCAGCTTGTTACCGACTTGTTCTCGTCAAAACAATTTCTGCTCACACAAAGTAACATGATGCCATGGCCTCAATTCCCCGTCACGTAAATATATAGAGACGATGTCAACATCTATGTAATTGAAGTAACAATGAACGACGTTAAGAGTTATTATTGAATGATCGGATCATCCAACTAATTAGATTATTTGATTCAATTTTTTTAGTCTCTCACACATTCAATGAATTCCTAGTAATTTATAGTGGGTGTGGCTTCAATGGTACGTGTCATTCAATGCTATGGGTGTTTTACTTTTAGCGATTAGATTTGATTTCCACAACTATTTATACCGATCTTCAATTTTCAATCTCAATAATTCAATTTCATGTATCAATTATTGTTATGTAGTACTAAGATATTTACGTCACCTTTATCAACGAAGTGAACCAATTTCGAACCTAATTTTGTATCAGAAGTAGTTTCCACTCTCTCATATTTTCTTTCAACACTCTTTTCTTATTTTCGGAAAGAGTAATGCTAAGTAAACTAAACTTGTAAACTAAATGATTATCACTGATAGACAATAAGCACATTAATTAACACTTAAATAATAATTCAATCAACTTCTATATCATTTAGTTTGTAAAATTTTATCTACAAATTTAATGTCCCCTTCCAGAAAAAAAAAAAAAAAAAAAAAAGGATTGCGAACATTACTTGCGGTCTACTTATTAGGTTCCAGTTGTTGCTTTGCAGCTAGCATTGCAACTCCCCTCGCCCCCTCGAGGACGGTATCCAGCTGTGGCTGCCACTTTTAGACGTAAAACAATGTCATTGCTGGTGGGTTTTGTCTCTCACGTTTATTCCCGCCATAAGTATGTCTTTGGTACAACAAAATGATCCGTAAAGTTAATGCAATGCAACTCATATGGTTTGTGTTATGAGATGTGTGTGACAACACATCTTTAAGAGCGCAAACCATTTACGACATGACTTGTTAGCTATGTACAATTTTATATACTGTTTTTCCACATCCCACCCACCCTCTTTCTATGATACTTCCATCTCTCATTTCTTCAATGTATTTCTATTTACGTGAAGTGATTTTCGAACACCTCTTTTCTTCCGTTGCACATCCTTATTTATTTCTTTGACTTAAAAGTTAAATCCAAGCATTGATCATGAAAATCCATGGATTTACCGTTGAACCGAAGCCGAAAGGACAATTTATATAAAAATTAGCTGAAAGTTTGAAGAGTAATTTTATATGTACATACAAGTAAAATGAAAAATATTTTATCCAAGTTTTCTATCACCTATTTGTCTTTCCACTTTCCTATACCGAAATTCTATTGCACAGTAATTGAGTAACAGAGGGATTGCAGATCTCATCTCCTCCGAATGTTCGGATTCAATGCCCCCCGTGTGTGTGTATTGGTTTCGGAGCTGCCCAATATCGGAATCTCCAGAGTCAAAGAAATTCTAACTACACTGGTACGAATTTACTATCAAAGCGGTTGAAGCTCTTGCTCAGGAACAACGGCACTGGCACCAACAGGCTCGTACGAAACGATCTCTTGCAATCTATACTTCCTAACCAGCCATGTCCCTAATGCTAATAATCCGACAACTGAGGTAATTATAGATCCAACTACCACCACCAAAGAGTGTTGATTCCACCACGACCTGCGATTCTCCAACACAGTCCAATTTTAACAACGAAACAATCTTCGCGTAAAACTCTAGCAAAATTCGATAGCTAAACAGGATAAAGAAACATGAAAGGAAACAGAAAATCAAGTACGGCAAAGACAAACGTCCATGAGGCTATCATTATGAAAACTGGATAATGAAATCAACAAAATCAAATTTCCAAAACCAGACACTTAATTTAGTGAGGAGCAATTTTAGAGAGCGAGAAAAGAAAAGGATGAGAGAAAACCAGGTGAAGTAGCATACCGCTTCTTTCGAGGCTCAGCTTTCACTTTGACCAACTGATAACTTCCAAATTTCTGGGGAAGCTGCATATGATGCTCCTTTAAGCGTAGAATTATGCCCTGCAATATTGAATAAGGATTAAGTCAACATTCTAGTCAGCAGATGGAAAAAAATCCAATTGTAAGTACATGTTATCCAGCAACAGAAGATTTATTACCGTTGCTCTTGCAGTAGAAAAGCCAGTTGCAGATTCAGCAGGGAAGATTGTCCATCTAACGACAAAATCACTTCCTGTATGGGTGTAGTTCATTAAGCGAACCTGAAGAAGAGTTAACATTGTGGTTAGTAAAGTAATCGAAGATATACTAGCACACAGTAAGAACAGGTATTAAAGATCACCAAGGGTGGCAATCGGTTGGGCTAGAGTATGTTACCAAGATCAATGACCCCAAGCTCAAGCATTTATTTGACGAAATGACAACGGTGAAATCCGCACAATTAAGAAAGACCTCTAATTTTAAATATTATGGCACGTGGGAGAAGGGGGAATAATTTTATCTTGACTCTTTAGTCACAGGTCCAGAATCATACTTGAGATAAGCACAGTCGAGCCTTGGTAAAACAAGATGCTACATGGTTAGGGCGACCCAGACCCAACCCATGCCAATCATGCAGGACCCCCGTAAAAACAAAACAAAAAACTACTCTCAAGTCCAAGATAACATAGCTAAACTATACCAGCGAAATATCAACTTCCAGCTCATGAGCAATAGAATCTGCGAGTTCTGTGAGGTTGGGTTTCATACTGTTATTGATGCTAAGCATCATATCGAAACTTATTAGCCCTATTTGAAGTTCACCTAAACATCAAACATCTGAGATGTCAACCAAAACAATTGAAAAAGTTGCATCATATCAAAACAATTGAAATTATAACTAAAAATGTTAAATTGGAGAAAAAATGAGAACCTAACATCAAAATGTCAGACTAAGAAATTGTACATCAAGCATCATAAAGGTCATTAGAACATTTGACAGAAAAACTAACTCTACCTGGAAGAAGTGTTTCAGGCAATCCACCTGGGGCAATGTTAGGAGAAATTTCTACACTCATATTCCGGCCATCAGAAGCTAAAGGTGCTGGAGGCGGGGCATTACTATAATTCAATTTCTTCCATAGTTCAGAACAATTAGTTTTCCAAAAGCCAATCCTATCATTTTTCCGGTCATAAGTCACAAGAGTATTACGCGCAATGATTCCTGTACAATCAACAAACATATAGTCAAGCTACCTCCACTTGCAGTTGTGTAAATGCTGGGACCTGTTTGGGACATATAAGGAGGAGGGCATATATTTCGAGTGTGTATGCAATATGTGGTTGTACAAAAGATTTGTAAAACAATACCAAACCATCTGATATAGAGTGATTTTGCAACCACTAACCTCCTAAAAGAGTAGTATCCTCGCTATTTTCAAAAATCCCCAGGCAATAAGCACCACCAACCTTTGTATGCTGTGGAACAAGGGAACAAGCCAAACAAAGAGAAAAACAATGCATCAAAATGGGTGTGTGTATTGTGAAATAAAAGTAATAAGACACACAATGTTAGTGCAACACAACCAGAGTTATAGTGGAGAGAGAAAATGCAATGTAGAAACGAGGCAAAACAAAATTATCACACTATTCTAAACTTTTGAACCCAGTATCAAAATATTTAAATAATAGAATATTTGATTTTTCCTATGGGGTGATTGACAAGAGAATTCTCTTAGTCTTAACAATATTATAGATTATAGATAAGACTTCGAATTATGGAAGCCAAATATACAGCCTCAGAACCATCTTAAATCAGCTGTGAAATAAAGCTGCTTCTGCTGTGCTTTAAAAAAAAAAACTGTTTCTGCTGTGCTGTGAGAATACACAGCTGTAAAATAAAGTATCAGAGTGTTTGGTAAACTTTTTTGTAAAAGTGCCTTTGAAAAAAAAAAAAAAAAAAAACAGTATTACAGTGTTTGACAAACTTTTATGTAAAACAGACGTGAAAAAAATCGGTTTTTCAAAGCTGGGTTTTGCAAATTCTTGTTTTTTGCTTTTTTTTTCACCCAAAAACTGTGAAAAAACACTGAAGCTGAATGTTTACCAACACACAAAAACAACTCCCAGCTTTTTTTGATACCAGCTTTTTTCAGAATTACCTCGGTACCAAACCAGGCCTTACTACAATAATAATTTAAAAAATACATGCTCAAGAACAGTAAATAATCAAGTTACCGGGAAC